CAAGGCTACGAAGTTGGCAGACGAGAGTTCTAACGCAGAGTTGATACACCAGCTCAGCTAAGCTCTACGTACAAAGTCGCTCCAATCTGTATGCCTATGCATCCTCGGGTCACTAGGGCAGGTCCACAGAGATGGTGTGAACCATAACTAAAACTTACAAAATGAGTAAATAAAAGAGAAACGCTGTGTTGGTGATGCTATATAAACTCAATTGAAAAAAAAATGGCAGCATGTCCACGGAGTGAATGATGGAGAGTGGGGCGAAGCATTCGTCCGTCCATGCGTCCGTCTGTGTGACCGTCCATGCGTCTGTTTGTGCGCCCGTCCCTGCGTTCTTTCATGCATCCGCCCCTGCGTCCGTTCATGCGTCCATCCATGCATCTGTTTGTGTGTCCGTTCGTTCATCTATTCAACACTCCAAGTCCCACCATCTCGCATCTTTTTATCATATATTCCCCATATAGAAGCACCGCCATCCAGTGGACATTCCAAGGACTAAACGAGAGGTGGCACACGCACACTTTCTTAGGGCCTGCGCTTTGGGTCCACTTCCCACCTTTAACCACCTCGAGTTCATGGTATATTCTAGTTCACTGTATTCATGGCACTGCGACCAAACGCTCGCTAAACCTTTCGAAAACCAAGGAGGTTACGCCCAGCGAGTATAACGTAGCAACTTTTCCCTGTCAGATAGGGCTCAATTTACATGCCAATGGCTGCTAATGAGAAATGAGAGACAGGAGAATTCGGCTTTTACTTTCTTACGGCTTGCGCTTCGTATCTACTTCTCATTTTTAACTACCTTGAGTTAATTCATGGTATATACAAGTTCATTGTATTCATGGCACTGCGGCTCAACGCTCGCTAAACTTTCTAAAGCTAAGGAGGTTACACCCAGCAAATATAATGTAGCATCCCTTTCTTGTCCGATAGTGCTCAATGTACATGCCAATGGCTGCTAATGGGGACCGCAGCGTGCGCGTTGACTAAAAGCCGAATGCTCATGTCTCTCATTCCCCATTAGCAGCCATTGGCATGTACATTGAGCACTATTTTTTATTGTTAAACAACGCACAGAAGAAATCTCTCACTGGCACCACCTTGGAGGTCAAGTGTTATACCTATTTCGGGTATGTGCCACTGGTGGTTACATACGAGGGACGCCCAAGCCACGCCATAAGGAGCTTCGCCCCTAATACCCCATAGTTCATCTAAGGCACGTCTAACTCGTACCTAAGAATCGCCTTGCATCCGATGCCGAGGTAGCAGTAGTCGCTCTAGCAGTCGAAGGCCAGGACCTTCGCTAGTTATTACGTAAAGCACCACTTGAGCGAATGCCCCTGAAACGAACTGGTTAGCTGTACAAACTTTTATGGAATTCCCCGTAGAAGTAACATTGGACGCGTCGCTAATGCATTTCAGTTTGAATAAAAGTACTGTAGACTGCACCTAAATTCTACGAACATGTTTGTGACACTTTCCGATGCCTCTCACGTCATATTGAGTCGGTTGCCAGTCTGCAAGATTGGCAACAGACAGGACTTAGCGTTGTGAATGTCACGTTGTAACATGCAATACTTTGTCTAGGGAAGAAATTCTTGCGGGAATCGAGCCTCAGAAAAAGAAGAGGAGAATAAATAAATAAACGTTCTAAGAAGCACAAACATTTTTAGTTAAAAAGCACTGGTACACTTGAAAAAGTGAAGTATTTTGCTGCTTTTCACAGTATTGTGTGAAACGGAGGAGACCCGGACCGCAGAATCTGGCCACATCGAAGACGTAGTAGGACGAGTCTTATCTTGTCCTGCTTTCGTATACTAGCAAAGTCCCTCAATAATTTGCGCGCTTCTTGAGAGTAATGTTCATTAGGTGTTGCTGGTGTCAGATGTCACGTTTGTGTAGGTGCTGCGTGGTCATTGGCTGCTTCGCCCCTTTGAGAGTCGGGTTGCGTTTCGCGTGTGCTTGTTTCGCCTGTGCATCAAGGGTTGATGAGTATTCAGAATCTGTTATTATTTCTCTTCCTCGCTTTACGAGGACAATGATGAAGCCGATGCATAATGAATCTGTCGCGTGGCGACATCGCCAAGGACGGGAATCTGCTCGAATTTTGAGGGCAGCAGAGGTTCATCCAAGTGTGCTTTTGTTGATATCGCATTAGCGTTGTCTGTCGCGGCATCGTGGAGAACGGCGTACGTGGAGCTGGCGTCTTTGTGTGTGTTATTTTTAGTCATGGCAGCTCATTTGGAGACATCGTTGCACGTTTCTCCCGAAAAATTGTTGATCACGGCGTGTCCTTCACAACAGTCTTCGTTCGCGCCGGTTTCCTGCATGATGAACATTGTGTAGTGCTGGAGCTGTGTAGTGTAGCGATGGTACGTTCAGCACAGGTATCTGATGTGAGGCGCCATCTTCATATGTTCGGTGGCGTCGTAGACGGTCATGGGGTGCATGTATTCGCTTGAGTGCAGCTCGTAGCAGCTCTTTTTTCACACTCCTGACCGTCAACTTGCTTGGGCTTGAGCAGAGACGAACTGAAGACCATACCACCAAGATGGGCTTGAGAAGCATGTAGGGTGAAGTTTTGGGCTCCGCATGTTGTTCTTAAGGCAAGCCCTCGAAGTACGCGGTGCCGCGTGACAGATAGTACTTGTGTTCGTCACCTGAGTCTAGAAAATAGAATTGCTTTAGCAAGCTGCCACTTACGCCATAGGACCTTGGGCTCTTGAAGTCGGTGTGAATGATGCATCCACTGTTTTTTGGCCAGTGAGCTCCCCACGGCAAAATTTGTAGATGAGTCTTTGCACCGAAGCGCAGTACATCGAACAGCAAGCAGCAGGTCTTCCAACGTGTACATGAAACTTGTTGGAGTTGGCATTGGAGTTGTGAGGCCCATCGAAAGTAAAATCGCAGCCTGACCCAAAGACGAGGGGGGAGAAGTCGTGAGGGCTATCGACAGTAAAGTCGCTGCCTACGGCGACATCGAAGCCTGAGTGGTCGAGAGGCTGGTTGAAAGCGAAGTTGCGGCCTGCTGTGACGTCGAGGCGAAAAGGGTCGGGAAGCAGGTTGAAGGCGACATCCCTGCCTGCTGCCACGACGAGGTGATAGGAGCCGAGAGGCTGTTCGAAGATGAAGTTGCGGCCTGCTCCGACGTCGAAGCAAGAGGAGCCGAGAGGCCGGTCGAAGGTGAATTTGTGGCCTGCTCTGACGCCGGAGCGAGAGGAGTCGATAGGCCGGACGAAGACGAAGTTGCTGCCTGCTTTGACGTCGAGGCGAGAGGGGTCGAAAGGCTGATCAAAGATGAGGTCATGGTGGGCTGCAATGTGGATTCGAGAGGGTTACTGAGTGCTGTGGTGGTGATGGTGGCTGATTCAGGTGGGGTTGGTGGCCACGCTTGGTTGCGTGGTGAACTCTTGCTTTAGCGCAGACGACTCTATCTTCGTATTCACTGATTGTGGTCAACTCTGCCTCCAGTTCCAATCCGTGTAGCGCAGCTTGAACCTCCTTGTCAAAGGTGATGAGGTGGGCGTCAATGATGCTGATGGCCTCTTGGAGCCTGTGAGGCGGGGTCGTCGATTCGTCCAGGCGTCTAGCGTCGAGATTGCATTGGTGACGGTGGTTCAGCATAAACCACGCTGTATTTAGAGCTGGTCCATTGTCGAAAGTCGAGGACCAGATGACCGGGTTGGTTTCAGCGCCAGAACGAAGTGTGCAAAGTGATGAAGGAGACCCAGACCCGAACGTCTTGCTACATCGAAGATCAACGAAACAACCGCTCGAGCCAGCACCCATGGCTATCACTCATGCCTGCCACCGCTTGTTCCTTCTTTGTTTGTAACAAATATTTTGCTAGAGAAAGTTTATGACATATTTGGACTGAGTGACCAAATTCATGGCCACTGCAGTCTTAAATGCACGGTTGAAGCGCAAGTTTACACCTTTGAAACAATGCTAAATAAGCAAAAGTTCCTATTGTGACATACAAAATTTCAAAGTAGAAGAACATTTTCATCAAAAACGGATATTTTCTTTAACTCTTGATAACAAAGGCCGAGATAAGTATTTCAGATCTGCCAACTTTAGTTTTAACTAAAATTATCCTGGAGTGACTTGAAGTCTGTTTCAGTGAAGTTTATATCTATCACTGGCTTTAGGGACCCCTGTAAGGACTACATCAACTCTGGTCTTGGCAGAAAAGCCACTATCATTTCAAGTAACAGAGACGTGAGTAAAAAAAAACACTATAGTTTGGGCTCAGAGACATTAGGCCACTACCTGGAAACTTCACTACAATTCCGCAGCTTGAGGGTACTGCGGTACAGAGAGATCAGAAATCGGGAGCAAAGGCAGTGGATTTTGCTTATATGAGTACTGTGAAACACTCCAGACAAACTGTAACGTTATATCTCTATCTCCCGTAAGAAATAGAGAGTAGTCTTTTCAGCAGCTACAAGATAATTAATACTGATGCTTATGTATTTAAAATAACATCACTCACATGGTGCACATGGACACTTGTTGTTGGTGTAATGAGTAAACCACAGCACTCCACGCAACTTGGCCCTGGAATAAGATAAAAACACAACCTATATATCGCACCCAGATGAAACAGTGGGGTGCTGCTCTGTCCACGTGAAAAATGTGTGATCAGATCTGAGTAGCTGGACAGGCCAGATGGTTAGGCCAGACAGCTAAGGCTGAAGAAGTCTTGCAATCTAACTTCGGGCACTCTGCTAAACACTAGCGATAGAGGCAATCAAGTTTTATTCCCTCTGTCTTCTCCAGTGACCTCGACAGCGCTAAAGCCTTACAACCCGCGTTACGTTTAGCTACACACAAGCATTCAGGAGTAACTTTATAAGCATACTTGTCCGTGGTGGCCTAATAAGGTTGCTTGTTGAGGAGGAAATTATGGTGTCCAGAAGGATGTGTGTGACCAAAACAAAAAAAAAACGTTTCGACGTACTTATCCCAACCGTCTTCAAAAATTTTCTTTCCTTCAGTTTTATTTCAGAGCTTTTCACGACACACCAGGTCAGCCTCTTTTTGCTGTGGACGACATCCAGTACACAGCCTGTGCATTGCCAAGTAAGAGACAAATGTATATTTTGATTTTTAAAGCAGCGCATATCCGTGTACTGCTAAGTTTTAATTCAGAATACGAAGTTGCGGTGCCAGAAAATCAGCCCATTGCAATTTTTTTATTCACGTTATTGCTAAGGTACAAATACGAAATGCCTTCTGTTTATGGAACACCGGTCTTTTACCATTCGTTGTGTCCTTGATTATAGTAAACGCTCTTTGCCGAATGGCGTAGATGGCCCCATTTCGAGGGTCACATTATATTGTTCAACGCTTATTTAGACCTAGTGTAACAAAGGATCATTTTCACAGGAGAAGCACCCTAATGGTACAAATTTATTCGTACTCAGCGCTTGTGCTCTGAAAGCAGAAGCTCTTAATTCCCCTAGAAGGTGAGTCATCCTGGCAGTATGGTAGTACGTTACTTCCGCGTCAAAAGCCCGATTTAATAAGCAGGTGAATAGCACGGATAACAGGTGGCGAGTTTCTGCGTAGAAATACCTACTCTAACTATTAAATTTGATTCCTCTTGGCTTTGACTTGAAATAGGCAGTGATAACTAATCGGGCTTTAGCAAAGACGCACTTTAAACTACAAGCGCCTAACACCCAGTCCTTCATTCGGAAACCTTAATAAAATATTTTGCAACCAAGCATATCTCTGGGCGTCGACAGCAATGTGCAAGAGACTAGAAAAGAAGCAAAGCTGTGTTTCTGTAAAATTCGCGTAATATGTGCCTCGTGTAGGCCGCATCTGAGAAAAAAAAATTATTATCATTAACTGCTAAGAAAGCGTGGTTGACGCACCACTTTCTCATTTTGTTTAATTTCATAAGGTTCAACGACATCTCTTGCAGCTGCATATCTATTATATAAACAGGTTCTTCTTTGAAATGAAGCCTACGCTTACTCAGTTTATAAGAGGAAATTTCTTCTCTGCATGACAAGATGTGTATGCACCTCGCTGTGCACACACCATGCTCTTTAGATCAGCTGTGCAAGCACCGTACCGGTTTACCAAATATTTACGGTGGCCACACAAAAAACGAATAAAACACTTCTCGGAAGTTTCGTAGGTCTCAAATTGTGGAACTTGGTTTACTTATACAGGGTGGGTGTGGACTGATCACTTGCAACTTGAGTGAGCCAGCTCAACGTTTTGTTACTCCGGACCAAATGCAGGCCACACGACGTCATGTGTGTTTGTGTCTTCGCTTGTGTCCCTGCAGTTCACGCCCTTATTTTCTATACTTCGACACGAACTCAGTCACATTGCTCTTCTGACCTTGTACATTCCTCCCACTCCTTGCTGATTGTCGGAATGAGCAAAGAATAATTATTTACGAATCATCACCGATTATGGTAATTGGCACGTAGACATCAACAGGAGCCTTCGAATCAGGCTGGAATGTGCCGCAATGCTGATAACATATTATGTATTTATTGGAGACTGAGCCCAGACTTAGCTTATGGTGCGTGGGAGATTGAGCCTTCCCAAAACATTGTGTAATATTACCTTGCCCTAACGAAGTCCCATTTCCTTCGAAAAGTAAGTTTGCTTTTATATTTCATGGACACTAAGCAGACACTCATGCTCACACCTTATACTTGTAGTGCTAAGGCATGCGCAAGTTTCATTCAATAAACTAAGTTGTATCTGCTTCCATTGCTTCTACATAAGCTCTTATGAGCGAGGTCTACCGATGCCCAAGTGTCCGCAGCTAGCACTTCTGGGAACAGTGAATTTTACTTGGTAGAATTGTCAGCTAAGCAAGCTGTGGTGTTGTTTGTAATGACGCAATGCACATAAGCTTCAATGAAGCTCATGGTCTTGGTCGTTTGTTTCTTGCTCATCTGCAGCCAAGCAAGACAGCTGTGATGACATGGAATTCCGCTGTGCCAATGGAGCATGCGTGATGCAGTACGACCGGTGCGACTACGTCGATGACTGCGGGGACAACAGTGACGAAAAAAATTGCGGTTGGTTTCCTGCACATGCTTAGTACATAAATTAAATTGTGCATAGTATAAATACACCAGCGACTGCAATGTTGTTAGTTGCTGAGACTATGTACCAGGTATCGCATTCAGCTGTGTCATTAGTAACAGTAAGGCGATATTCTGAAACCTTTCAAAAGAAGGCACTTCACTCATTTGGTCGATACTCAATCCCCAGTGTTTATGCCATCATTTTTTTCTTGGTAGAAGAATTGCGCTATCAGAAGAAAAAAAATGCCAAACCACTTCCCCCAAGAACTACCCTAAACCTGAATCAATACTGTTACGTGCGGCGTCAAGGCCGTGACGCGGTCAGTGATAAGCAAGCGTGGCATGCCGTGTCGAAAAACGAAGCACTCATTTATGAACGTGAGAACGTGTTGCGTCGAAAAGTCGGGAATGGCCCTGACTTTTATTTTTATTATTTACAAAAACTGCAGGCCCTTCTCGGCCCTAAGCAGGAGTGGGATTATCATTAAAGACAATACCAACAATAAGTATTAGAACTAGCGACAACATCAGTAGCAAACCACAATTAACAAGCAAAAGAAAATGAATAAATAAATATGCTTTGCAATAACAACACATTATAAAATATAAAATATGCGCGTACAATATTTCAACACGTGAGATGAACACCATGGATAAAAAGGTGAACGCGATAATCAACTGCAACAAAGCTGTCTAACATAGACAGAACTTTACATATGAAATAAAGGTCCACTTCGGGATATAATTTGTCATGACGATGAGGAACTTGTTTGCTCCGCGATGTACGTCAAAATGGTTCTATACGATCACGTCCCACTATCTCAAAAGGTGTTTCCGTAGGAGTTATAGGTTGCATAGGGTCCATTTGCGGATTTGTGATGGCCTTCCGAGCTTGACACACCGTGCACGAGAAAACGTAGCGGGAGATGTCACTGTGCACTCGCCACCACCAAAACCTCTCTTTTATGCGGGCCAGCATCTTGTGCAGCCCGAGGTGACCGGCAGTCAGAGCGTCGTGGCACATAAATTACACTGACTGTCGCATGGATACAGGGACAACAAGAACACACGACCCGTGTCGATAATTTTGGTGATAAAGGATCCCACTCTCGGATGACGTAAGAGAGACTTTCCCGACGACGCTTGGAAGTACGTACTTCCCCAGATAGTTGCCGAGTTATATCGGCAATTTTTCCATCTTGTAGCTGTGTAGGTCGTAAATCAAGCACGGCAGTGACAAGGGAGATATCGCTGAAAGTTGTCGGGTGGCGAGAAAGGTAGTAACCGTCTTGATGGCGAGAGCTGCTGCAATGGACTATAGAAAAGTTGTAATCTTGCAGTTCAGGAACCCACCTAGCGAACTTAGCATTGGGGCCTTCTTTTTTGTTTGAAGCCAGTGAAGGGTGACATTGCCAGTGAAGACCGTGAAGGTTTGACCATAAGCGTACGGACGAAATTTCTCCACTGCCCAAACTACTGCCTAGCACTCAAGTTTAGAGGCGTGATATCGGCTCTCTGGTTGACTGAGTTGGCGGCTAACATAAGCGTCTTGTTTTTCTGCCCGTCTTCGTTAACTTGCAAGACAACAGCTACGAGGCGAAGCCCACTGGCATCGGTGTGTGGAATCGTCAGGGCATTCTCGTCATAGTGTGCAAGTGCTGGTAGTGCTAGAAGGGCAGACTTGAGGTCGTGAAAGGTATCTTCTTGGGTGGGGCCCTATTTTTCAGTGAACTTCTTTCTTCAGTAGCTTGTTGAGAGGTGCCGTGCGAGAAGCGAAGTCAGTGACAAAGCGTCTGAAATATGAGACGAAGCCCAAGAAACTTTTCAGCTGCTTAGCCATGGTGAGAGGCGGAATACAGGCAATGGCTTGGAGCTTTATGGGATCAGGGTCGACGCCTTTGGCACTGACTATGTGCCCCAAGTGGGTAACTTCCGATAAGCTGAAGAAGCACTTGGAAGGCCTAATGAAAAAGCGAGCGTCTTGGAGAGCACAGAAGACCATTCCCAAATGCCTGAGGTGTTCGAGAAACGCGAAAACATAAACAATGTGTCGTCTAAATACACTAAAGCCGTCGACCACATCAGATTCCCAAGAAGCCGATTTAATATTTGCTGAGATGTAAACAGCAGGACCATTCAAGAGTCTGAATGGAAGGTGATTAAACTGGTATAGACCGTCAGTTGTTACAAAAAACGGTCTTTTCCGCGTCATTGGGGTCTAGTTCTACCTACATATAGCCACGAAGAAGATGAAGCGTAGTAAAAAAACTGGCACCATGCAGGCGGTCAAGGGCATCGTCAAGACGAGGAAGCGGATACACGTCGAGCTTAGTACCACTGTTTAAGCGTCGATAATCAACACAGAAACGAATATTGCCGCTATTTCTTCCTGACAAGGATTGCGGGGGACGACCAGAGACCACACGAGCGCTTCTGTCGGCCCCACCTTGTGAAGCAAGAACTTGTAGGCAATCTGGTACACATAGACTTTCATAACTGCTTTGCTGTAGAAGGTGACTAGGCGTACCCTCACTCGGCGTACACTGGACATCAAAATCTGACAGGGTCCCTGCCGAGCTCTCCTGCATAGTCGGGGCAGCAGGTTCTCGGGCCGCTGACGACGTAGCAGCGTTGCTCCGTGTAGATATGGGTTACCGTTGTCACCACTGCCAACAATTGTTACGTACAAGAGCAACTAACTCAAACACAATCCAAAACCGAAGATATTTTTCTCTGGACTACCCTCACGAACCAGTCACTCCTTCGGTATGATTCACTACAATACATTATAATGCATGCTTACTACGTTAATCGAAATCACGTTGAACTCTGCTCTTCGAGGCATGTTTGTCTAAATACAGATGGTATAGGGAATTTACAAAGTACAAGCAGTCATCGTATTAGTTAAAGTACTTGTTTGTTCAATATTTGGCTCTAGTTTTTTTCTTGTTGAAAACCTTTTCCTTATATGAAACTTTGATTTTGTCGTATCCACCATCACAAGGTGACCACCGACTGGGCTGTAACTTCGACAACTCTTTCTGCGATTGGGTGCCTCAGGCACCTACGGAAAAATCTAAACTAACCTGGAGGCTCGAGCGTCCAGGTCCGTTCCTTTTGCAATCACCGACAAGGGACCACACAACCGGGACACCAGATGGTAAAGTGCTCTTTGTGAATATTTTACAAAACATCAATTCAATTCATTGAGTCAACAGAACAATATTCTTCAAATCTATTTCATGTTGCGCTCAACCACTGATTCGGAAAATGTGGCTTTAAGCTTGACCACTGCCGATAAAAATGTGGAGACTGGATTATTTTGTTGTAGCTCTGCACGTTAAAACACTCAAGTGCTCGGTAATATTTCAAGCCCTCAAGTACAGCCCATATCATAATTCATCGTATTTATTATGAGTAAAACGCCCAAATTAAATGTATTGTTTTATTGATAGCTCGATGTAATAGAAATTTACAAGATGTGGTAGAACAACCGTACTGCGGTGGTAAGCTGTATAATTACTCTCACTTGTGCAAGCAAAAGAGAATATAGAGCAGCATAGGTCGACCTACATGCAGCCAAAATAATGTATTCAGTCTGTTGCACGTCAATGCATGAAAGGCAACATAGAACGAAACTACAGAAACATCAAGGTAATAAATGAAGTTGCAAACAAACCAGTATCATACGGAGAAGCATGTTTCGTCGTTAGTTAAATTTATGTAGTTTGTGGGTTAGCTTTCTGTAGAAGCACGTAAGAAATTGACAGAACAGATTAAGCTGTATTTTATGAAATTAGAAAGAAGTCGATGAATAGTAAAAATTGTTAGAGCGAACAGAATGTTTCTTACTATGACCCCTGAAGAAATGGTCAAGAAACACATGGACTGAACAAGACACCGGTGAGAAACTTGACATTCTAAGTAGTAAGGAGTGTTCGTACAAGATAAGTAGAGTACCCTAAGTATCAATTTTGACGATGTATAGTTAGGACGTAAGATCACACCTTTTAGGAAATTAACGGCGAAGCAATCGTTAAACTAAAGTAACACAAGCAGGCAATCGTCATGGTTAGTGTAGATGTAGCAATGATGCTTCAAAACTTTTTGGAGACGTTGCTTAAAAATTGTTGAACAAGAAGTGATATAGCGGTTAATTTATTCAATGCTACAGACAGATAGCGTATTGTAATTAAGTAGTTGGAATATTAAGCGTTCTAACACAAGGCTTGAACTCTAAGACGTCTGAAATGTGTTGATCAGGAGAATGCAAGCAGTGAAACGACACGTTTACATATTCTTAAATTGCTGCCTCATATGCTTGTTTTGGAAAGTGTCATGGTTAATTAACAATGTAATTGTGAACATTTTTTATCGAGTACCAGAAGCAAAGCTTTGTTTTTAAGATAGCTCCTGCCAAATGTCAAATATTTCATTACACTGAAATTTTTCGTAACCATTTCTATGCCATTTCTCATATATCATCGTCACATTGATTGCAGGTGCTTTCATGATAATTAAATCCACGAAAACCACTAAAGCAACCGTGATCGGCCCAACACTGGACAACTCAACGCTCTGCACCGTGAGTATGCGGTGTAATACCTTACGCACTATTTTTATAGAAAGCTCTAAAATTATTGGGTAATTAACAATCTGTATTCGCCCTTATCCACACCTTCATCAATGATGATGGTGTACGTTGCCAAAAGATGTATAAACATTTCCAGTGCCTATGTCATTGAAATTACCTAATACATTGTTACGGGAAGATTTATTCACCGACAGCGGTTCTTGCTAACGGTTTAAAGAGCGCACAGTCATGCAGGCCAACGGAGAAAGCTCGAGAGTCCAACCCACAACAACCACGTTGTCGTCTTCCTAGTTTTGGGTGCCATTTCAGCTGTGCCGGAGCGACAGTTCTATACACGTATTATCACCCCGGCCGGTAAGGCACCATCCCGGTGCCTGTTAAAAGAGCGAGTCGGCGTTGCAGGGCTTGAGACGAGAAACGTGACTACTTCTGTTCTGCGTGCAGCAGCCGATGAGTTTGTGGTAGCGGCAATCTCGTAGGTCACAGGTGTGACCTGACGAAGGACTCGGTAGGACCCAGCGTATCGCAATAGTATATTTCTTGGAGAGGCCAACACGTTGAGATGGGAGCCTGTGATGTGTGGTGCGCGTTCAAGTGCGCGCCTTCGAAAAGTGCGCGTCACGGAAAAAAAAAAAACAAAAGGATAAATACCAGAGTGCACGTGCGGTGCTGCTTAAACAAGAATGACGACGTTAAAGAGCGTCAAGCACGAGGAGCGTGGCAGGACGTGAAGTAAACAAAGGTAAAACATCCAATGGGCAGCGAACACGGAGATTTCAAGGCCCAATGGCTTGACACCACGAAACAGTAGTAGCTCCAATGAGAAACGAGACAGTGGGCCAGAGCTGAAGCAGGAGCCTGGGAGACCAGAGCAAGGGGAATTCGAGGCAGGCAGTGCAAGCGGAAGGTCGTCACCGGACCGGGCGCTGAAGATGGGCCGTTGGGTTCCGGACCCGAGCCTACAGGGACTTCCACCGGCCGGGGCCTCCTGCTGTCGGGTTCCCGCTCCAAAGGACCGTGGCCATCCGGTCCTGAACTCCTTTCCAGAGCCTGCGGACTTCGGTTCCGGCAGGCGAGCTACAGCCGTCGGGCTCCGGCCCGAGCTGTGCGGCCCAGCTGCTTGACTAGGTCGACCCTAGTTCCCGGACGCGTCGCCACCAGCCTGCGTTCTCCCGTCTCCGACGTGTCCACGCTCCTCAAGCCGAAACCATCACGATTTGGTAGGGCTTTTCGACGTGTCGCCAGCAGCCAGCGTTCCCTCGTCCTCGTCCAGCCCACGCACTGACGCAGGAGTCACGGCGTTCCGGTTTCGTCATCACCGCCGAAAACCAACTTGTGGTGAGACTGCACCGATACTCTTGCGCTACTCCCATCACTCAGCCCCTTTCGAACGTTAGGTTTAGTTACTGACTTTGAACGTTTTGTTGGGTGTTTACAGATGTGTTCGTCATGTCCAGTCAACTGTTTATTAAGTGTTCGGTTTTGTGAGGAATCTTTGCCTTTTTTCTTTTCAATTAAACTTTTTGTGTGTTTCTTGGGAACCGAACGGCTTTGTCCTTATTAACAAAACTCTCTGAGGCTCAGCCCGGGAGAAAAACAAATCAGCAACAAGAACCATGCATCACAAATTGGCGTCCGCGACAGGACAAAGTCGTTTGTTTTTCCAGTAGATTTTTTTTGACGCGGTTAACACGATGACGAACACGTGGGAGTTAATTGAGTTGGCGGATAAAATGGGACTGACGGGAGCGGAGTTTAGAGTATGGTACGAGGAGCGGATGGAGAGGGAGCGTGAGCACGGGCTGCAGAACGAAAGGCGGCGAAGGAAAGCTTGAATTGGTGCTTAGAGCTAAGAAGGAGGAGCTAGAGCGCGTAAACGCGTGAAAATAAAGTGTTGCTAGAGCGTCAGACACGCATACTGAAGCAGCAGCTCCAATGAGAGAGGGTGGACTTCGAGCGGCGACTCGAGCTTGCGATGGCGAAAAGGGGGCAGCTGGCGATGCAGAAGGTCGAGCAAGCGGTGAATGTTGCTCCGATAGCAGCGTTTGCTGGAGGGAAGTCGATTCCTGCAAGGTTGGCCTCGAACCTCGCGACAGCCGTACTTCGGAGCGAGAAGCTCAGATAGAGGAAGGCAGAGAGGTGGACAGCCAGAAGGCAGGAGTCATGAGGAGTTTGTTGAAGCGACGGAAAGCTTCTCTGGCTGGAACATATTACTTCCGTTAGCTGCTTGGGGACCTCTGAGAGGCCAAGCACCTATGAAAAGAGCGCCTGGATATGGGCGCCTAGAAGCTGTGGAAAATGTGGTGGAGCAAGCTTCGATAGCAGGGGAACAAAGAAGTTCCATTCAGAATGAGGTGTGTATCACGAAACGTGCTCGAAAGGCCGAGCACATTTCGGGAAGGGTAGGGCTACCTCTCAATAGCTCCATGGAAGGAGCGCTAGAACGTCATTGGGAAGATGGCAGCGAATGCCATGAAGGCTCTGATATAGTGGCCACTGATTGTTTTGTACCGACAGAGGTAGCAGCAGGCACCACGTCAATGGTCCTAGACCATACGTATATCTCACTCAGAGAGAGAGGGGATTCTAGTTCACAGGATAGCGTAACTGCTATTTGTCCGAGAAAACACGATGGGAGTGCTGAAGCACTCTTCAAAATAAACAGTATCGAATCGGAGGTGGGCTCGATAGTAGGTATGGAGAATGCCAGACAGGGTCTTGAACCTGAGAACGTGATTGGTTTTGAACCTATAATTAAGTCCACTCAAGATGAGCTGTATAATGACCGAGCACAACGGCATCCCTTCTCAAGAATCCAGGAACCTCACACGCTTGTCGGAGCGTTTGGGCTTGCTGAGGGCACCCCGAGCTTGTGTTCATTAGATGGTGAATTAAAAGAAAGCATTTGTGTGAGAGATTGTGGCATTTGGACATTCGTGTCTCAGTGCGTTTCGTGTCGACGCCGACGGCTCGAGACCGCGCCCTGTTCCTCTGTGACCGGTAAGCGTTCATGTGGCCGGCGGGGGCGCAGACACGCGTTTCAGCGAAAGTGCATAAAAGCATGTTTGCCACAGTTACTTTCGAAACGTGCGAGAAGGGCAGTGCGTCTGGTTTGGGACGCGAAACGTGGACTACTTCTGTTCTGCGTGCAGCAGCCGATGAGTTTGTGGTAGCGGCAATCTCGTAGGTCACAGGTGTGACCTGACGAAGGACTCGGTAGGACCCAGCGTATCGCAATAGTATATTTCTTGGAGAGGCCAACACGTTGAGATGGGAGCCTGTGATGTGTGGTGCGCGTTCAAAGTGCGCGCCTTCGAAAAGTGCGCGTCACGGAAAAAAAAAAAACAAAAGGAGAAATACCAGAGTGCACGTGCGGTGCTGCTTAAACAAGAATGACGACGTTAAAGAGCGTCAAGCACGAGGATGCGTGGCAGGACGTGAAGTAAACAAAAGGTAAAACATCCAATGGGCAGCGAACACGGAGATTTCAAGGCCCAATGGCTTGACACCACGAAACAGTAGTATCTCCAATGAGAACGAGACAAGTGGGCCAGAGCTGAAGCAGGAGCCTGGGGAGACCAGAGCAAGGGGAATTCGAGGCAGGCAGTGCAAGCGGAAGGTCGTCACCGGACCGGGCGCTGAAGATGGGCCGTTGGGTTCCGGACCCGAGCCTACAGGACTTCCACCGGCCGGGGCCTCCTGCTGTCGGGTTCCCGCTCCAAAGGACCGTGGCCATCCGGTCCTGAACTCCTTTCCAGAGCCTGCGGACTTCGGTTCCGGCAGGCGAGCTACAGCCGTCGGGCTCCGGGCCCGAGCTGTGCGCCCAGCTGCTTGACTAGGTCGACCCTAGTTCCCGGACGCGTCGCCACCAGCCTGCGTTCTCCCGTCTCCGACGTGTCCACGCTCCTCAAGCCGAAACCATCACGATTTGGTAGGGCTTTTCGACGTGTCGCCAGCAGCCAGCGTTCCCTCGTCCTCGTCCAGCCCACGCACTGACGCAGGAGTCACGGCGTTCCGGTTTCTCATCACCGCCGAAAACCAACTTGTGGGTGAGACTGCACCGATACTCTTGCGCTACTCCCATCACTCAGCCCCTTTCGAACGTTAGGTTTAGTTACTGACTTTGAACGTTTTGTTGGGTGTTTACAGATGTGTTTCGTCATGTCCAGTCAACTGTTTATTAAGTGTTTTGTTTTGTGAGGAATCTTTGCCTTTTTTCTTTTCAATTAAACTTTTTGTGTGTTTCTTGGAAACCGAACGGCTTTGTCCTTATTAACAAAACTCTCTGAGGCTCAGCCCGGGAGAAAAACAAATCAGCAACAAGAACCCTGCATCACAAATTGGCGTCCGCGACAGGACAAAGTCGTTTGTTTTTCCAGTAGATTTTTTGACGCGGTTAACACGATGACGAACACGTGGGAGTTAATTGAGTTGGCGGATAAAATGGGACTGACGGGAGCGGAGTTTAGAGTATGGTACGAGGAGCGGATGGAGAGGGAGCGTGAGCAACGGGCTGCAGAACGAAAGGCGGCGAAGGAAAAGCTTGAATTGGTGCTTAGAGCTAAGAAGGAGGAGCTAGAGCGCGTAACGCGTGAAAATAAAGTGTTGCTAGAGCGTCAGACACGCATACTGAAGCAGCAGCTCCAATTAGAGAGGGTGGACTTCGAGCGGCGACTCGAGCTTGCGATGGCGAAAAGGGGGCAGCTGGCGATGCAGAAGGTCGAGCAAGCGGTGAATGTTTGCTCCGATAGCAGCGTTTGCTGGAGGGAAGTCGATTCCTGCAAGGTTGGCCTCGAACCTCGCGACAGCCTTACTTCGGAGCGAGAAGCTCAGATAGAGGAAGGCAGAGAGGTGGACAGCCAAGAAGGCAGGAGTCATGAGGAGTTTGTTGAAGCGACGGAAAGCTTCTCTGGCTGGGAACATATTACTTCCGTTAGCTGCTTGGGGACCTCTGAGAGGCCAAGCACCTATGAAGAAGAGCGCCTGGATATGGGCGACCTAGAAGCTGTGGAAAATGTGGTGGAGCAAAGCTTCGATAGCAGGGAACAAAGAAGTTCCATTCAGAATGAGGTGTGTATCAGAACGTCTCAAAGGCCGAGCACATTTCGGGAAGGGGTAGGGCTACCTCTCAATAGCTCCATGGAAGGAGCGCTAGAACGTCATTGGGAAGATGGCAGCGAATGCCATGAAGGCTCTGATATAGTGGCCACTGATTGTTTTGTACCGACAGAGGTAGCAGCAGGCACCACGTCAATGGTCCTAGACCATACGTATATCTCACTCAGAGAGAGAGGGGATTCTAGTTCACAGGATAGCGTAACTGCTATTTGTCCGAGAAAACACGATGGGAGTGCTGAAGCACTCTTCAAAATAAACAGTATCGAATCGGAGGTGGGCTCGATAGTAGGTATGGAGAATGCCAGACAGGGTCTTGAACCTGAGAACGTGATTGGTTTTGAACCTATAATTAAGTCCACTCAAGATGAGCTGTATAATGACCGAGCACAACGGCATCCCTTCTCAAGAATCCAGGAACCTCACACGCTTGTCGGAGCGTTTGGGCTTGCTGAGGGCACCCCGAGCTTGTGTTCATTAGATGGTGAATTAAAAGAAAGCATTTGTGTGAGAGATTGTGGCATTTGGACATTCGTGTCTCAGTGCGTTTCGTGTCGACGCCGACGGCTCGAGACCGCGCCCTGTTCCTCTGTGACCGGTAAGCGTTCATGTGGCCGGCGGGGGCGCAGACACGCGTTTCAGCGAAAGTGCATAAAAGCATGTTTGCCACAGTTACTTTCGAAACGTGCGAGAAGGGCAGTGCGTCTGGTTTGGGACGCGATAACCTGAGTGTAGGGTTAGAAAACCGGTAGCTCTTTCTGGACTTCGACTTTTAGATGCGGACACAAGTAGCTTTGTCCATAGTCGATTTTGTAGTAAAAAGGTTTATTCCGGGTTTCAGAACTTTTAAATGCAATTGGGTGAATCTAAAGTTTAAGTGTGGACATTTGGACGATGTAGCGAACTGTAGCCCGGTGATGTGTTGAACTGCGTGGTGCAAATATGTGGTTTAATTGTGACGTAGTGCAGAACGCGCACTCATCGGCAGTTTTTTTTTTCTAAAAAAAAAAAACTTGAATAAAAGGGGGGCGTATGTGATGTGTGGTGCGCGTTCAAAGTGCGCGCCTTCGAAAAGTGCGCGTCACGGAAAAAAAAAAAACAAAAGGAGAAATACCAGAGTGCACGTGCGGTGCTGCTTAAACAAGAATGACGACGTTAAAGAGCGTCAAGCACGAGGATGCGTGGCAGGACGTGAAGTAAACAAAAGGTAAAACATCCAATGGGCAGCGAACACGGAGATTTCAAGGCCCAATGGCTTGACACCACGAAACAGTAGTATCTCCAATGAGAACGAGACAAGTGGGCCAGAGCTGAAGCAGGAGCCTGGGGAGACCAGAGCAAGGGGAATTCGAGGCAGGCAGTGCAAGCGGAAGGTCGTCACCGGACCGGGCGCTGAAGATGGGCCGTTGGGTTCCGGACCCGAGCCTACAGGACTTCCACCGGCCGGGGCCTCCTGCTGTCGGGTTCCCGCTCCAAAGGACCGTGGCCATCCGGTCCTGAACTCCTTTCCAGAGCCTGCGGACTTCGGTTCCGGCAGGCGAGCTACAGCCGTCGGGCTCCGGGCCCGAGCTGTGCGCCCAGCTGCTTGACTAGGTCGACCCTAGTTCCCGGACGCGTCGCCACCAGCCTGCGTTCTCCCGTCTCCGACGTGTCCACGCTCCTCAAGCCGAAACCATCACGATTTGGTAGGGCTTTTCGACGTGTCGCCAGCAGCCAGCGTTCCCTCGTCCTCGTCCAGCCCACGCACTGACGCAGGAGTCACGGCGTTCCGGTTTCTCATCACCGCCGAAAACCAACTTGTGGGTGAGACTGCACCGATACTCTTGCGCTACTCCCATCACTCAGCCCCTTTCGAACGTTAGGTTTAGTTACTGACTTTGAACGTTTTTGTTGGGTGTTTACAGATGTGTTTCGTCATGTCCAGTCAACTGTTTATTAAGTGTTCTGTTTTGTGAGGAATCTTTGCCTTTTTTCTTTTCAATTAAACTTTTTGTGTGTTTCTTGGGAACCGAACGGCTTTGTCCTTATTAACAAAACTCTCTGAGGCTCAGCCCGGGAGAAAAACAAATCAGCAACAAGAACCCGCATCACAGAGCCACAGGAGAACAAGAGATCCCGCAAAAAAAATGGCATCCCTTTGTCAACGGTCGTAAAGAGACTTTTGTGCTGTCTGCGACGACAATAACCGAGCGCGGGCTACCCCGCGTGCTGTGAGAACACGCGTGATTGCATTCTTAGCGTTCGAAGTGGAGGATGGGTGGTCTAATAAAAGCAGTGTGTCGAAGGGCAGTAAGGAATGACGTCCGAAGAGTAGGTAAAATGGGGAGCAGCCCGCTGTTTCATGACGCGACGAGTTATAAGCGAAGGTGTCGAACGGCAGAGCTATGTCCCAATCAGTGTGGTCGGTAGATACGTACATGGAAAGCATGTCTATCAATGTGCAGTTTGGGCGCTCCATAAGGCCTTTAGTCTGAGGGTGGTAAGCTGTGAAGTTGTGACGGCTAGCACAAGATCGGAGTAGATCATCAACCACATGAGATAGAAAGTAGCGACCACGGTCTGTGAGCAGGGGAGACGGAGCGCCATGCTCTAGAATAATCTCATAGAGCAGGAATTCAGCAACGTCAGTTGCGCAGCTGGTTGGTAGCGCTCGAGTGATTGCATACCAAGTGGCATATTCTGTGGCCACTGCAATCCATTTATTTCCAGTTGTAGAAGAAGGAAAGGGATCTAGCGCGCCCAACCCCACTCGATAAAACGGCTCGGCTGGAACTTCAATAGGTTGAAGAAGACCGGCAGGGGGAGTCGTAGGCTTAGTTCGGTGCTGGCAGAGGTCGCAAAGTGCGACGTAACGGCGAACGGAGCTGTAGAGATCCTTCCAGAATACTCGTCGTCGAACGCGGTCGTAAGTTCTGGAGACTGCTAGATGTCCAGAAGCTGGAAGCAGGAAGCTGCTAAGAGAAGGGTCATTATGACGCGATTGAAGGCGGTCAATGATGGTGAGCAGCGATGGATCTCGGCGCTGTTCGTCGGTCACGTTCAGAAAATCAGTGATGGCTAAAACGCAGGCATCGAATTCCAAATCGGTGGAGTTAGGCGGATCAATGGGGTGCCGAGATAAGCAGTCAGCATTGGTGTGCAGCTTTCCAGATTTGTGAACAACCGAGAACGTGTACTCCTGTAATCGAAGTGCCCATCGGCCGAGTCGTCCTTAGGGTCCTTAAACTTCGACAGCCAGCAAAGCGCATGATGGTCCGTGATGTCTGCGAACAGACGTCCGTTTAAGTACGGACGGAATTTCGCTATGGCTCAAACGAGGGCTAAGCATTCCCGCTCAGCGATAGAATAATTTTTTTCGCTTGCGACAGAGCGTAGGCTATCACAAGGTTGGTGCCATTCTGTATCTGAGCGCGTATAGCACCGATGCCATGGCCGCTTGCATCAGTGCGAAGCTCTGTTCGAGCCGCTGGATCGAAATGAACCAACAAAGGTGCACAGCGAGCTGTGATTTGAAGCATTTATTGTTGTGTAATTATATTCATATCTTAGGGAAATGAAGATCAATAAGAAAAAAAAACCTCATGCTCCTTGAAGAAGATAGATAGATTGAGAGAAAACTTCACTGAAAATTGTGAGTGCCTGACTCACTATTAAGCGAGCACCGTTGAGACAGCAACGCGAAGCAAGACCGCAGCGTTGCGCGCGCTCTAGGAATGCTTCCAATCGTAGTCTCAATAGGTTTTTTATCTCCTATTGTAGCGAACGTCTGCTTTTCGGAAGCCGACGATGGTAAGTGACGACCGTTGTTCGGTCAAAACTCAAAGTTCTCACTGCCCCGCCGCGGTGGTCTAGTGGCTAAGGTACTCGGCTGCTGACCCGCAGGTCGCGGGTTCAAATCCCGACTGCGGCGGCTGCGTTTCCGATGGAGGCGGAAATGTTGTAGGCCCGTGTGCTCAGATTTGGGTGCACGTTAAAGAACCCCAGGTGGTCGGGTTCTCCGGAGCCCTCCACTACGGCGTCTCTCATAATCATATGGTGGCTTTGGGACCTTAAACCCCACATATCAATCAATCAATCTAAGCTCCTACTGATGTCACGGACTTCAAATGATTGCCTGTAATTTGCATTGTTTGATCAATTTTATAGAAATCAATGAAATTGTTATAATACTATTGAAAGGTACATGTCATTGAAGAAATGTACACTCAACACTAACACACGCGTGTCAGCACATTTAGAAGTAATTCCTATGTTTCAGTGAAATGAAGTGGGAAATGATAACTGTGCCAGTTCATCGCAAGATTTACAGAATGCAGTCATTGAACCAAAGCAAAGCTTCTGCTACAAATCGCTGTGTAAACTTTTTGATTGTGTTCTTTGCAGTTCTTGTAACCAGCTTGAAGGTTGGCTCATTAAAGATAGTCATATAGTAAGATGCTCGCGCGTAGTACTTCTAAGACATCTAATTGTGAATTTTATTTTCTAAATTATTTTGTTTACCTGCCACTTAGATGACGTTTTTCCACGCAACGCTAGGAAGAAGCAAGCCGAAGCTCACTCTTGCTTACCGCACAACAAAAAATGGAACGTGGAAGGCCTTGTGGACGCAGAGGAAGCCAAATGACTTCTTTAACTTCATTGAGGTCTTCGTGGAGTTGCCGAAAATGGCTCCTTACCAGGTAAATTACACGCACGTCAGAAAGAACTCATATGGTAAAAAAATGCTTCCTTTATATAGAGATCTAAAAGTGTAGCCGTGATATCGTACGAGTGACATATCATTGCCATTTAATTTGACCACTACTCGGATGTTCGAAGGTTTTTACTTTTCATAGAAATACGCTTAAACGCACGGAAAGCTTTATTGTCGCGGTTGACGTTTAGAGGCAGTTTTTCGAAGCAGCAATTGGAGGCTCTTCATAGCAAACATCTGCTCCTTGAAGAGGGAATTATGATCAACAGAACGTGCGAGCCAAATATTATACTTCAATGTGCAAGCGGGAAATAACAAGAAATTCTCAAAATTAGCTAAGAACTGTTTTATCTTCTCTCGACAAATGATGCTACATACTCAAAAAATTACACTTCAGAGACCCATGTATAACACCATTAGCTGATTTCGGCATGACGCCCTCTGGAGTTACTGGGGCCACCGCGGGAGGCCCTGACCTGTCCACGTAATTGTAAGGAAACAAAAGGATAGAAAGAAAAGGTGCTTATTTCATGAGAAAATCGTGACGTATTTTCTTTCGCCTCACCGTCCCACCTTGCTTAGCTTTTAGCGCTTTCGTCGGGACGAGAGACCAGAGAATGCAATTCAAGTGAACGACAAGTCTTTGTACTCCACTCATACCAGATGGATTCCCAATTGATTTGCAGCATTGAGTTCATGACGGAGTAAGCTCCTTTACTGAATTCCGTGGCTAGTTGAAGAGATGTTTCAGAGTTTTTTAAGGTAAAGTAAACGCTAATTCTTGCCATTTATTGAATCAATCACATTCACCGCAACTACTTTGAGTCTTGATTGATAACATACGCACGGTATGTAATAAATTAAAACGCGATATATTCTCGTCGCGGTACCTGACCTTGCTTTGTGCGAGAGGCATGAGGGAGGTTCACGATGTGAACTTTCAGTAGCAAGTTTCTCTTTAGGGGCGAAGCTCCTTAGTTTGTGGGTCATTCCCTACACTGTCGTAATAATATTAGTAGTAGTAGTAGTAGTAGTAGTAGTAGTAGTAGTAGTAGTAGTAGTAGTAGCAGTAATAGTAGTAGTGGTAGTAGTAGCAGTAGTAGTAATAGTAGTATGCAGCAAACTCTACCTAATGAATTGCTAAATAGATAGCGTTGTGTGTATATATGTCCTTCGAAATATAATGACTAAACGACGTTAGTAGTTTTTGTATAGTTGACGATTTTGCATAGTTGACGATTGAAGGAATGAACAGACAGGCAGACGGACGGACTACAGACTGACCGACCGACAGACAGACACACACAGGGAGCGATGGTCGAACATACAGGCAGACACACAGGTAGACAGACAGACAGACGGACACACACACGGACGGACGGATGGGCAGACAGACAGACAGACAGACAGACAGACAGACAGACAGACAGACAGACAGACAGACAGACAGATGGACGGACGGACGGACGGACGGATGGACGGACAGACAGACAGACGCTTCGCCGCACCCATCATCAATCACCACTCCGTGGAAATGCTGTGAATTTTTTTAAAGTGCCCAGCACTTTCAGGGGCCGTACTGTTGTACACAGGAAACTGAAATTTTTCTCTTTTTTTCAATCTATGCCGTAAGGCATACTAGCATTATTAAAAAAAGTACGCTGTCGTACGCTGTAAGCGTGTGTGGTCGTAGTCACTAGGTGTAACGCAGGCAAAACCACATATAGAATTGCCAGCTGTAGCATTTGTAGTATGCACTCACACCAAAGACAAGCCTCTTTCTTCTTGTTGTTCTTCGAGCGCCTTCATGATTTTGTTGAAGTCGTTGTTCTGTTGTCCTTCGAGTGGTTTCAAATACTAACGCATGCTAAACCACATAGCGTAGCCATTTGTACTACATTGAACGCCTGCTCGCACCAACAAAAAGTCTTTTTGCTCTCGTTCTTCAAATGAGAGTGCATCCTCTTTCTTTTGTTCTTGGAGCTCCTTGATGAAGATAATAACGCCGGCAAAACTACAATAGTTTAGCGAAGTGAAACACAGTGGTTGTGCGCTCATGCCAAAACGAAGTCTTCCACTTCTTGCACTTTGAGTGCCTTGATTATATTATTTTTGGGCATAACTAACTATGGCTAGGGAAACATGACACCACAAACCACGTGTAAAAATTGCAACAGGAAGCAACCGATGACTAGGAAGACAGAAAAACAAAGAAAAAATAGGAAGGAAAATAAATAGAAATAGCTAAAACAGAAGAACAAAACAAGAAACAAAGCAGAAATAAAGAAAACCAGAACACTGAAAAAAAAAAAAACTCGCAGCATATCCACACAGTGACTGATGATGAGTGAAGCGTTCATCCGTCTCTGCATTCATTCGTTCATGTGTGCGTCCGTCCGTCTTCCCGTCCGTTCTTCCGACTATGCTTCCTTCCGTCCACCCATCAGTGCGTTCGTCTGTCTGTCGACGATGGGCGGACGGAAGGAAGCATGGTCGGAAACAATTCAGAAGTAATTTTTAAAATTGCTTCTGAAACGTTTTTCATGCTTCAAATAATCCGCACTGATCCTAAACAAAACAAGATACCTAACTGCTAACGCGAGGAGTTTCATGTGCTTTCTAACGTGCTCGTAAAACAAGCCACTCTCAAGGCCAAGCTGCTAGGACTGTGAAACGAACAATGGACAACGCATAGTCTTAAAGCTCTATTAAACAATTTCCAGCGAAATATAACACACATCCGTGATAGATTATTTAATTATTGCATTCTTCGTGCTGACTGCTGCCTTTTGAAATTACGACAGGCGCCACCATGTCTGGTAGTGGTAACAACTATGAAGCAGGAAATCACTGAAGGGATCTCTACATTATATTAAACTTTGTGCTTCAAAACACGATAGTGATCGAGTTTTCAACACGGGAGTACAGAAACACAACTGACAAAGTATTTCACAGAATGCTCCCATTTTTATATCTGTCATTGTTTGGCAGATTCATTCTCTGGGCAATGTCAACACGAATCAAGTTTCAAAGCCGTAACTTTCCATTCAGCTTGGTAGAATCATATATCGATTATTAGAGTCTTGGTTTAAGGATGTTGAGGGAATCAGCGTCTCTGTAAATTTATTACTCCCGTCTCTTATTGAGGGCACTATCGTGAGACGGAAACGTTCAAGTAGACTAAAAGTTCTTCTCTGATAACGTCGCACTTTTACTGTTAGACCTAGCTTTGAGGCTTCGACTTGATGAAGCTTCAATAAATGAAATACTTTATAACTTTGATGTGCTGTACCGTTGAAGGACTCTTGACCAGGGTCGTGTGTTTTAACCCCCTTGACCAGTGTCGTCAAAGTTGCAGATGGCGCAACAGTAGCGGACGTTGGTATGTGCATAGGTCAACTAATCGTAGCTGGTCTTTAAGTGGTCGTCCTTCTTACCATCCTTGCAACATGTCCCCACGACCTCACACTAGGCCTCGATTTCTTGCCGCCAATTCTGCTCTGATTGATTGCTGCGCTGGTGTGTTCCGCCTTGAACTTCCACAAATCCCTGACGCCCCGTACCAACCTACATGCCAATTACAATGCAGCGACTTTGTTCACCTGCCGTCAAAAACTGAGACGTACATCGATTTCCTGTAAGCACCAGCTGTGCCCTACGTTGACTATTACGCTACGCATCTCAACGACGTACTTCTTGCGCATAATGTTGCAGTTCCCTACATGGTGCCCAGCATCACAGATAACAGAAATTGTCTACCACTTGTAAATTTCGGCTACATGAGTCAAGTGCTTCCACAATACATTTATTTGGCCCACCTGTGTCCGTTGCTTGATTCACAAGCTGAGTGCTTGCAATAGACACCCTTGTTTCAATGCAGCGCACACCACTCGCAGCACATTTGGGCAGCCGTCAAATTGTAGACATGATCGCCACTGATCTTCCGCCTGCGCGAGTTGAAGCCCTACAGCGTCTTCTTGAGCCTACCTCGATATTTTTTATTTTGGCAACCGATCTCTAGGGCCGACATTCTTTGCCCAGCTTCGCATACACGGAGGTGATGCCAGCCCTGTTACCGCCGTCCCTACAGAGTGTCTGCTTTTGAGCGGAGAATCATTCAGAAGGAGGGGAAGAAGAGGTTAGCTAAGGACATTATTGAACCATTATCCAGTTCCTAGGCATCACCGGTGGTATTATTTGAAAAGAAGGACGAATCGTGGCAATTTTGTGTGGACTATCACCCCCTTAGCAACATCACGAAGAAAGACGCATACCCTCTGCTTCAAATTGACAACGCCCTTGATTGCCTCCATGGTGCCGCCTACTTTTCTTCCATCGATCTTCGTTTTGGTTATTGGTAGATTGCCATGGACTCTAACCGAAAGAAGACGGCTTTTGTAACACCTGATGGCTTCTGCCAATTCAAGGTCATGCCTTTCGGCTATTGAGGCCCCCGCCACCTTCGAACAAATGATAGACTCCCTGCTCCATGGATTCAAGTGGTCTACGTGACTTTGTCATCTGGATGACATGATTGTGTTTGCTCCCACTTTTGAAGTGCACCTTGAGAGACTGTCCAAAGTTCTTGTTGTATTCTGTCTCACCGGCCTTCAACTGAATTCAACCAAGTGCCGGTTTGGTCGTCGCTGCATCACAATATTTCGGCACAATGTTGACGCTTACTGCGTACAGCCTGGCGCAGAAAAAGTTCAAGCTGTGAAGAACTTTCCAGTTCCAAAAACCACCAAAGACATCCGCAGCTTTGTGGGGCTCTGCTCCTACTCAAGGCGGTTCATCAAGAACTACGCAGAAATAGCTCGGCCTTTAACAGATTTACTGAAACCAGATGAGACCCTTACCTGGGGTCCATCGCAAGCAGCAGCATTCTCCGACCTCACCACTTTGCTCACTTCCTCTCCTATTCTGGCTTGCTTTGACCCTACGGCACCAACCGAAGTCCGAACCGATGCCAGTGGTTATGGAATAGGCGCTGTCTTGGCTCAGCAACAACGTGGGCAGCATCACCTGATAGCTTATGCCAGCAGGCTCCTGTCCCCATCGAAGCGAAATTATTCCATCACAGAGCGCGAATGCCTGGCGCTGGTGTGGGCAGTCACGAAATTTAGCCCTTACTTACACGGCCGACCGTTTAAAGTTCTCACCGACCGCCACGCTCTTTGCTCGTCGTCTCGCCCGCTGGGCACTCTGCCTCCAAGAGTATTCTTACAGCGTAATATATAAATCAGAAAAACTGCAGAGAGACGTAGATTGTCTGTCACACTGCCCTGTGGCCGACTGCGACCCTGGAAGCGCTGATTCTGTGGATCGTCCTTTTCATCTACCAGCTGATTCTGTGACGAGCAGCGTCTCGATCCGAATATCAGCCACCTAATACAACAGCGCTAATTTTCACCGCACGACGCTTCTGTTCGCATGTTTACCATAAAAGACCACACCTTATACCGGCGTAATTTATCGCACAATGGTCCCGACCTACTTCTGGTCATACCAAAGCACCTGCGCCCCACAGTCCTACGCGAGCTCCATAACATACCAACCGCGGGTCACCTTGGTGTCTCCCTCATATATGACTAAGTGCGGCGCAGCTCCTACTGGCCTGGCCTTTGACGCTCACTACGTCGTTATGTCAACGCTTGTGCAATTCGCCAGCGCCGCAAGCAGCCGTGGGGACTCCCTGCCAGCTATCTTCAGCTTATCGACATCCCATCGGAGCGCTTCTTCCGTGTTGGTTTGGACCTTCTAGGTCCCTTCCCAGCATCCGCCTCTGGAAACAAGTGCGTCGTGGTTGCAACAGATTTCGCGATATATACATATATACATATCTATATATATATATACATACATATATATATATATATATATATATATATATATATATATATATATATATATATATATATATATATATATATATATATATATATATATATATATATATATATATATATATATATATATATATATATATTCGTGGCTTATATATATAGATATTCTTGATTTTAGCAGCTCTCCCTTCTCAATTCTGTCTTTGCTCCATGTGTGTAGCAAGCCCATGAATGCCATGGCACGAAAACGCCTCAGCGTCTTGGTGTTTTCTTTTTTCTTCGTCCGCGCCCATCACTCTGACTTTTTTGTTTCACTACTCCACTTAGCAAGAATCTTTCCTAAAGCTTTACAATAGGTAATGTCTTGTTTAGTTTAGTCTCGATAGTTGGTATCTCGACTGTGACTTCTCGTTTGAAAACCCCTTTCACACACGCGTGTGCAGTGATTAGCTATTATAACAGTTAAGGAAGTAAAATTAAGCATAGTTCATAATTAATTTGTTATTTTTTAAGGCTGTACTTGTGAAAATAATAAAGAAGGTAAACTTTGCCTATTCTAGAAGCACTTCATTTCAGTAGAAAAAAATAGCAACAAATAATTAGAAAGGTAATGTGTGTGTACTGTTCATAGGTGGCCTTCATAGGAGAGCATAGAAATCCTGACAAGTATGGCTACATAGCCATTGACGACGTCCAGTTTTGGGAGAGCTGCACGACGAAACTAGGAGGTGAGTTATGGGATATGTAAAACTTCACAGACATTCCGCAATGTTCCCGAAAACATCTCTACTCTGTGGGTTTACGCAAAGTACAAGTTCACAACATGTTGTGTTTATGTACAGACCGAAGGAGATTTCGTGTTATTGCACCAATCAGGCAGATGATATCTTTATCTAGTGCACATTGTTTTTCGCTAAGTAGAATTTAACGTTGTTTCTTGCATGCACTACATGGCTGTCTGAACAGTTCCACACTCGAAGGGCCCTGCAACACGTTTTCAGCATTGTGATAAGACAATGCCGATCAGTTGATTGATCGATATGTGGGGTTTAACATCTGAAAACCACCCTATGATTATGAGAGACACCGTACAGGATGACTCCAGAAATTTCAACCTCCTGGGTTTCTTTGACGTGGGCCCAATTGACACCGATCAGTAGTCAGAGCTCCTGAGACCACGTCAGACAAACATTAGAGTGTAGCACGTAGCCTGCAGCGCATAATTAATTCATAATAGCTCATAATTGTACAGAATTGTTCCCTCTGATCTGAGAAACCCAGATGAACCCTCCATAAACCAACAATTCACGGACATTGGCTAAATTTACCATCGTCAGCTGCATAGGATTAAAACGCACATGAGGACATGACGCACTCACGAAGACACGAATATACGAGCACCCTTTCCAACCTTCCCTTACTCCCTTGGGCGTAGTTTCAGTGGGCTCGCTAGTTTTAGATGTGACAGATTTCTGTGACTATGCTTATGCTTCACGGTTTACAAGAATTTTCGTGGCCGTGGATTCATGAGGCTATCTACGCTCTTTTGATGAGTGCATCGATTATTAATTAAAAAGTGTTGCAGAGACTACCTGAACCGGATTTATATCGTATACAACATGAACGTATTCCTTAGTGACGTAATCATTTGTCGCCACAGATCGGCTGGTATTAAGTACTAGTATCAACGCCCTACCAGGGCAACTGTTGGTCGTCGCCTTACCAATTAAGCGAGGTGTTACAACACGAAGGCAATGTTTATGACTACATATTCACTTGTAGTTCAGATGACCCTTCGATCGCTAGCAACAATTGAACACAGTTACTTCGTGCATGACTAATTTTTCGTGTTTTAATCGCGCTAAATATAGTGCGAGCATAACATGACAGAATTTGTCGTCTCAAAAACTTCACTGGCTGTTTTCGAAGGCACAGCGACAAGCAGCAAAAGAAGTAAGAATGACTCAATTAGTTTTTTTTTACTTTTATTATTTTTCGTATTTGTATGAAAGGTTATTGCTAAATCTTCAATATTAGAGAAGTTGCGTTATGTCATTTTGTAGTGTCCTCTTCTCAATCTAAAGCTGTTGCATGGAAAGCAGCTTTGATCGCTATAGCACATGCCAGTGCACTCTAAGCCGGCATTTTGTGTTCACTGCTCTATACTGCAACGGAACAAATATTGATTACACAAACTAACATGTGACAAAAACCAGGGCACGTGTTCTCAAAGAATGACGGGAAAGGCGGAATAGAGCGTATACACATAAAATATAGGACGTAAATATTTTTGCTGTAAGGTCATTCTAGTCGAATACTCATTTCGAGTGACAGCATACTAAAGCTCAAGTATAGGCCACAGCAGCTGCCATTCTGAGTGACCGATTTCCTGCGAGCTGCGTGGTGCGACTCCAGTGAGGCCTGGATCCCTCAGTGACGCTATAATGCAGTGGCCTGCACTCGAGCAATGAACGGGGGTAGCCATCAAGCGCTTGCAGATGAAGCATACGGTGCGTAAGGTTATGTTATCGGCTTATCCTCTATACGGAATCTAAGGCTGCCACAGAAGCTGGCGGCAACACGCACCGATAGTGTCCATAAAATTGTGATCACAACAGAACTTGACACCTTTTTCAAGTGTCATCAAAGTGCAGTCAGCCTAAAGTGCAACTTCCACTGAGGAAATTATTTTAAAATTTTATATCCATGCTTTCTCATAATCTAATGTTGTCATTTAAGAAGCGAAATTAAGATGGCTTTGTTGAACGCTTCAGATTGTGGTCAGCGTTATCGTGCCGGTTACATGAAATAGCTAGAGTCCCTCGTAACATAACCAGTGTTTTACATCGAGGATTCTTATTTTCTGTGTTCTGGCGAAAATTGCTGTGTAGACAGGCAGTTACACTAAGGGTATCTGCAATTTGTTCTCTTTAATATGTTGTGGTTACGTGAAGTAAGCAATAGATGTAGTTGGTCTTTTGTCAGAAATATGATTTAGGTCATAAACAATCTCTGAACTACATCATTGGTTTCTTTCAATCTCTTGTTATGTATTCTGCCAGGTCTTCCATCAGCCCCAGTACCAGCGAAGCCATCGTTTACATGTACTGAGCAGGAATTCCAATGCACGGGCATCAGACAGTGCATTCCGTTGTCCAAGGTGTGCGATTTCATGGAGGACTGTTCCAATGGAGCCGACGAATCCCGCTGCGGTGAGGGAAGACATGCCTTCGGACTTTATAGAAAAAATGCTTACTAAACGGGAGGGACATTTCATGGGCTGCCATGAGTCAAGTTCGTCAACACCATAAGCATGACAAGATCATTATTCAAAATCTGCACTACGGAAGCCCACGAAACATGTTAGGCTTGCACCTCAGTTCTGACATTTCCATCAGCTTATTTCATGAATGACGTCACAGCATGCTGGTTTTCTGGTTATTAGTGGGAAGCCAAGTTGGTTCATTTGACATAATCAGTAAAAGTCATTTGTAAATTATTTCTCTATCTGAAGCCTCTAATAAGACGTCCATGACAAAAAAGTACAAAGGAACGTACCCATCAAATTGTATTGTCATCCACGGACCTTAAAAATTGCAAGATTTCTTTTTTAAGACAATGGCTGTGTTATTTCATCAGTTATTATTGAAACAACGCTCACGCAGCGATCATTTCCTCTCTACTTACGATATATATAGCGTGTTTCAATATTATGTCCGAATTTCGTAAATTCCAAATAAGTGTAAAATTTATCGACTTTCACAATTACTACTCTAGCCGCATGCCTCTTCAGATGAATAAATACATACTTTGGGACACTAATTAAAATATGAAATTATTACCTTTTTAGTTAGGAGGTTTAGCAGGTTATAGCAAATGAGAACGAATTGAATTCCTTCATATTTGATTGAATTGAATTCCACCAGCTTTGAGATATTGAGAAAGCGACCTGAACTAATAGTTTGGAGTAAAATTTGGCTTTTCGCATTAACAGTGGCCTGATGTCACTTGAGTTCAAAGCGTTGTTTGGAGGAGTCATACCTTGAATGAGAACTGCGAGAACGGTATGCCAGAAATCGAAGTGTAAATATCAACTCTGTTCTAGTTCCTCTTTTGTATGTGGGTGGTGCTTAGCCTTCTAGTTTTTCTCCCTCTCCATAAGCTTCGGCTCTGTATTCAAAAAGCATACAATACCGGGTCATTGGTCTATGAGTCATTTATTAGGCCTAAATCAGTCCGACATAATATTTTTGTGACAACAAAAACATGTTTGCCGAAATTCGCTCACGGCCATTTGTCTTCGCAAGCGCAGAAATGTTCGGACTGAAGTGATAAATAGTGCTGCTATTCTAAGTAAACTTGTCACAATACAGTGGGTCTTGAATCGATAAATGGTAGATATTTTAAGCACGCAAGACGGTAATATAAGTAGTGAGGTAGTACTGTTTGACAGTGCTGCGAAATACAGTCGACACAGACATTAGGGGACAACGTACCACGTGACCAGTCCCACACATCGTACATCGTAGTCATTTTTGTGTAGGAACATGAGAATGATTTGAAATATGAGAATCTATGTGCCCAGACTTTTTCTTTTCATTAAAATAATACGTTCAAGCTAGTCCATGGCCTTACGCTTACGTGCAATTCTTTCCCAATTTGTTGCGTATTAGCATTTGAAGATCACTGAATCCATAAAAATATGAAGTGGTAGATTTGTTAGTCTTAAGCATACGCTCTAGCTCTTCGAAAATTTTCCTGCACTCTCTATTTAATAATTTACAAGGCGCAGTAACATGCAGCGTCACAATGTCTCTATAGGTGCCTGCGAGTTTACGACGGACTTGTGTGGTTTGGAAAATGAGGATTCCAGTGCCCGTTTTGGTTGGAACTGGACGACAGTGGAAGACGGCAAGAAAAAGCAAGGCTTCCCAAGTACTGACAGTCGAATGAACATGGAAGGAGCATATGCTGCATATTCGATTGTTAACTCAGGTAACAAGCACCTAATAGGCCTTCGTGCAAATGTTCTACACATTTGCTCATGACAGACAGACAGACAGACAGACAGACAGACAGACAGACAGACAGACAGACAGACAGACAGACAGACAGACAGACAGACAGACAGACAGACAGACAGACAGACAGATAGATAGATAGATAGATAGATAGATAGATAGATAGATAGATAGATAGATAGATAGATAGATAGATAGATAGATAGATAGATAGATAGATAGATAGATAGATAGATAGATAGATAGATAGATAGATAGATAGATAGATAGATAGATAGATAGATAGATAGATAGATAGATAGATAGATAGATAGATAGATAGATAGATAGATAGATAGATAGATAGATAGATAGATAGATAGATAGATAGATAGATAGATAGATAGATAGATAGACAGATAGATGGTGGCGATCAAATTAGTTTTTTTTTGTTAAAGAAAACTATACACAGCAATGTTCTCTGATTAGCAAATAACTATCTCCCAAAAGCCAAGAAGTCAATCTTAACGAACGTGTTTAGTTAGCGAGAAAATGGGCAGGGGGGAAAAACACATTGTGACACTGCCCTGACGTGGCCGCGCAAACTTACCGTGATGTTAACTATTTTTACGGTGTCTTCTAGAGCCTTTGTAAGCAATGGTTGGTGAGAAAGGCTTATATTTACTTTGTATAGAACACAATAATTTCATGCATTAAGCTTAAACTTCGATGATTCATTGCCACAACTTGGCCGAAAGACGCGAACAGACTTGACGTCACACTGTCAGTGAAATTTTGATGTGAAAATCAAACGTGAGACTTGGATCAATATTTCTTGCAATAAGTTGGTGACATACGAGATTATAGAGTCCTAAAATTATTCCTCTCGTGCAGAATCCTTTAATTCAGGACTTCAGTGTACCTGAAAGTAGTTACTTCACTTTACTTCAACGACTAAACAAGTAATAAACATACTAAGAAATGAAGTAAACAAAAAGAAATGCTAGACCTGCGCGGAATTGGTAGCACAGTCAAAACGAAAGCTGGAAAAGCGGCGTTTCATAGCCTTTTTTAAAGCTATTTGCGTAACTGCTAGCGGCACACCTGTGGGGTATTCACTACGCCATTATTCACCACAATTTTGTTTTGTAGTAGGCTAGCACTCCCTATGCTATCATCTTTTGTCATCTTTAGGAGAAGCATGGTATCCGCTTAACACTTGCTAGGAATTTTGTGCATTTTTTGTTCAGTGGATGACGACAATAAAAAATTATGCCTGAAGTGGGTATGCGCCACACTTAACAGGTAATCTGCAAGAACAACCTTTTGTATTGGGTGGTGCATTGGACGACTCACTCGTTACGTAATTCGACTTTTTTCTTTGCTATTCTAAACTGCTTTATTGCACATTAACGTGATTCTTTTTTGACATCAAGCCTGCCTAAGGCAAATTCGCAATTAAGCTCCAGGCACAGGCATGGCTTAGTGGTAGAATACTGGGGCTAGCACGAAGCGGACCCAGGTTCGAATACCGTTGTGTCATGTTTATTAGCAGCAAGAGTTCCTTTTTCTAATTTTGTGCGATACTGAATACGAAAACCAGCGGCGGTGGGCAACTATGATGCCGCACGTGACTCGTATTCTGGTCTCACAACGGCTTTCGCTGTACAAATTTCAAGAAGTAGCTACACACATCAAAGGTACATCCTTAAAAAATATCACTTGGCAGTCATTCTAGGGATTGACCAACAAAAGACAGCTTTAAAATAAAATAATCATATCGACTGACGGGAGCGCTTCGTGAAATTTTGTGTCCGTGTGTGACACAAATTTAATGTTTTTATTTTTTAGATCAGCCTTAATAGCAAACACAGTTTGAAAAGTAAGTGGGCTGCCACCATATACCTTTTCAGCTGTTCATGTCAAGAAGGCTAAACTAGTGTACTTTTTCATTTATCCTTGCCGTTTCTGTTTATTTTATTGTACTTAAGTTCATTTTATACACAAAGGTTTCTTGAATGATTTCTCAGAATTGTTTTATTTCTTAGAAAACTTCGCAATTGCATGTTCCATCAAAAATTGGAGTTATATCACAGCGAATAAGTTATTACTCACTTGCTGTTCCCACGAAGCCAACTTTCGCTTGCCAATATCGGTTGAAGTGCCGACGCAGGCTCATAGTCACCAACTCCTTGGTATCTAATCTCCGTTTATTCCGATTACCAAGCAGACCACTTACAACAAGCAGAATTCACACATATAGGTGGCAAGAAGGCTCTGCAGTTTATAGGACTGAACACTCAGCGATAACGTAGCGCTTGCCCTAAAGCACAAACCGAAGCAACCAATTTTACTTCGCCAATAATTACTTGTAATATGTACAAAACATGTTTGATTGCAGCCACGAAGCGCCAAACCAGTCATTTTGTCACCACCTTCTTTATATTCCACATTATCGAAGCCTTAAAAAGCCCCATAGCACCTCTGGGCCATTGCACCAATGGTGTATTAAAAGGGACGTCTGTTATGAAGAAAAAATATATTCATACGCAATAAGTTCAATAGCTCTCAGGGATCCGAACGATGCGTTAGATTTGCATACAGAATGATCAATTACCGTTCCACCCAGTGGTCACTTTGGTACAACACAAGCGACGACTAGCCGGGACAGTCAATTCGGCTAATATTTTGTGCGATGTCTATATAGTTTTATTCTACCTGCAACATTTCAGAAGCTCCACCAAGTAACGTATTGAAGGGTCTGACTACGCCACCGCTAGGACCAATTGCGCATTCCTGTGTCGTCTATTTCTACGCCTACATACCTAACATGCGTAAGTATTTGTCATATCCAGGAGGGTTCTCAAATGTACCTTCTGAGTGAAAGCTGTCGGTGACATGCAGTATTGAAAACAGAGTTCTCAGATAAAAACCTCAAATGTGTTATCATGAAATAGCGTTCCAAAATGCTTTGTGTTGTGCAGCAAGTTACGCGAACTTTGGTGCATGGTACCCTTAAAAAATGAGTTTGATGTAGAATGAAATCTTGGAACTGCGAGTCAATAATTCGTTCCGCACTGTCGTGAAACCGATGCTCAAAATTTCTTTGGAAAAGGACCCCATGATGCGCCATGACGGAAAACTGACGTCCAGCATAGTTGCACTAAACATTAATATTTGCTCGAATTAGATATAGGCATTTTTTTCCGCATTTTGAAAGCAGGGGTAGGAACAGCCTGAAAATGGTTATTGACAATATATGGTTCATGCGATTTGCATCAAGAAAGTTGAGAAGCATATACAAACGGTTCATACAAGCTAGCAGCCACAAATATTTGAAACCGAATAACAAAAACGATATGGCTCTGTGAACAATAATGAACTGTAACTAATGGAGTGAAAGTCGTCATTTTGTATTAAATTTTGCCGTGTGGATGGCAGCTTCGCAATTATTGTCACAATTCAATGTAACCTACAGAGTTGTGTATGAATATTACCTGGTTTGTTCACTGTAGCCTATGCAGTAACTGTTCTATATTTTCAATTAGGCGCTACAAATGTGCCAATTTGCAACATTTCTCTCTTGATTACTCATTGACGTTGACCAATGATTGAACAAATGTTCAAGAAACACAGAAATATATTGTGCTTCTCGCAGCAACTAAATTTTTTTCCTTTTATTGCAAGGTCCAAAAGAGTTTGATGTAATGCAGAATCAATTTTGTGCTATATTACGACATTCTTTTTGTTTCTTTAGAATAGACGGCCTGTGATAATATCACTGAAAAACACCTCTATCATTTCTCGTTGTCATTCATTTACGCAAGAAGATTATTGAGTAATTTTTGAAGCGTCATCAAGCTCCATAATGTGGAACTTCAATATTATTTCCAATTAAAGTAATGCTTATATCAGCTAAGGTAGCCGAATTTATTGTACATATATTTAAGGTAATTTGACTTTCTCCCAAGTCTCTTTTTTTTCAATTATGTATCTTTTAGCTTCACTCACGTCCACACAGTTGAAGTTCATAATAGAGAATGGTAGCCAGCACTCTGCTCAAGGTTGTTAGGCTCAACTTCGTGGTTTGTTTAAGATTTTGACTTAACTGTGCGAGGACAATACGGAGACGAGACCACAGTACCAAACACAAGCACAGATATTGTTCCTTGTCATGTTTCAACACATTTAAACCAAAACAATATCTGTATGCCTTTGACATTTTGCACCATGTCAAACAGTCTTTACGTTATATAAAGTTAGTGATTAACGAATACATCGACAGGATAACGTATGGAGTCAACTGTAGAGAATAGAATAATAACTCATTTCTAGATCACGCCTCTTTTGCAACATACTTTTGAAGGAAAGTAGTTTATCAAATTTTCTTTCGGTTCCTACGGTACGACGCTAAAATGTTCGTGTCGTATTGGCTGAACGGTGTTTTCAATTTTCAGCCGCGGCAATGTTCTTGTTCGGGGTGAGGCCTGACCCGGGCTTCGATTCTCGGAGAAGCATTGTGAAAGTGCTTGGTACACTGAGTGGAAAAGTGCTGAAAGGGCAGTGGAGAAGGGTGTTTGTGAGAGTTGGAAACTGGGACGCAGGAGCAAGGGTAAGTTTTCTATGGTACCTTTAAAGCGTCCCTTCATTCAGCTTTTCTTCGCAATTTCCGTAAATAACCTATGTATCTTGTGCGGTAGAAGAAAACATCGAGAGAGGGAAACTACGTTTGTTATATGAAGACAAACGTGATGTGAGTTGGAATTGCAAAGAGTGCGTTTCATTAGGGTTCACCTGGCCGCACTATCAAGTGAAATGATTGTGCATTGTAAGAAAAATGAGGATACTGTTGTATTACCAAAACAAAATAAAATAACATCGTTTCCTTACGCTTTCATGGCCATTTACTATCAACTTATAAAATGTAACCTAATGCGCTCACGTATCAGTAACAATCAGTAAATAAGTAATCAAAGAAATAGCGTTGATTCAAGCAGCATCGCCTCAAAAAGGAAAAAAATAAGCATCTAGTTAAACATGAAACAAAAGTTTGAATATTACGTTAAAAAACAGTTGCAATCTACAATTGCTATCAGATACAAATCTGAAATAATATTTCAAGTATCCATTTATGAGGAGTTACTTCCAAGTTATGTTTTTTTTTCGTTCAGCACGTATTTTTTTTTACTTCCTGCAACATGTTTTTTTTTTTGCCAAGCACATAGTTTTTCAATTCCTACAAGAGTACGGGGATTAAAATAGATTTTCTAATAGGTACCTTGATTTTACAAAGTAAGTGCCACTTGTGGCGGCAAGTTACAGAGGTATCGTTTTCTGGCACAATAGAGCCTATTTTATTGAATTCAATCGAAAGCTTTCGTGCATGAGCTACAAGAAGCAATAAACAGTACACTTATATGGACTGGAACAAGTCCATTCACCATAACTTCGTAGAAAACATATTCTCAAGACAATAACTACCGTTATAGCGATACATATAAACCAGGCACGTTTCTTTTCTAATGATTTTCGAAGCTAAGTTATATTTTTACGAAGGAATTAGGACACAGTCTTTTAAATTAGTTCATCTTGTTGAGGAATGACTCGTTCTGATTTTTAAAAAAGTCAGCATACTGTCATTGATAGTGAATGAATCCATTAAAGATTAGAGCAGTTTGCTGCCGGACACTCGTACAACGCTGACATCAAAAGCACCTCATTACATATGATAGCTCATTCTTCATTACCAACATTAAATTTATTTGTTTGCTGCTGTGTCTTAGTTCTGAGTTTCGTCACCTGTGAATTGTTTACGAGGACTTTGGTTTGCTTACTGCTCAATGCCTAATTGTTTTGTCTAAAAGTTTCATCTCTGACAAGCGTAACTTAGAGCTTATAATGTCGTCCATTTATTTGAAAACTGTTCACTGCTTCACATATTTATCTTGCATGCCCGCTCTTATTTAGCTGCTTTAGGATATCTAAAATTTTGTGCGTACTGAAGGCAACTAGTGACACCATGTCCGTTCACACGTGCCTATACATGCGAGCTAGCATGGGCATCTACAGTTTACAATATTTATTATGTATATCATGTAACTTCCTTAGCGCAATATAGATAATGTTCATAATTCTCGTTTTATTGCAGTTCGTGTACCTGGCTAACAGCGTCGGTGTGAGCATTGACCGTCCAGAGTATAAAATGTGCCATCCAGACACCCAGAGTGAAGGAGGTGGGTAGTACTCTCTTATCGTTTACCACTTCTCTGACGACTTTCGTGTTTGAAGGAACCTCCTCGATTGTACATGAAAATTGGCCATTGAAACACAGCTAAATATTGTGATTGCACCAATATTGTAACTATTCGTATGTAAGGAACACATTTTCGACAACAGAATGAGAAAAGTAACTCCTATTGTTAAACCAAGATATAGCTTGCATTGGCCCTTTGCCTAGTTTTGATGACGAGTGTTCAAAGCTAAAAATACACTGCCAGAAAATAACGGACCACTACGTTGTTCCTTTTCAGCCGAAGCAGCCGAAAAGGTGAGCTGCACCTTCTCAGATCCTTCGAACTGTGGCTGGTTCCCCGAGAGAAAAGCATCTGATACCCTGTGGACTCTAAACGCTGGAGGAACTGAGATTCCCAAATTCAAATGGCAGCCCTTCGACAGCGATTCTCACAAAGGTGCGTAGCGTAATTGTAAATGTCAACAATTCTACTCATTGCAGACACTACTGCTTTGGTTCGTAATCTTTCGTAGAGTGTTGATTAAGAGTTTAAACCTATCTAGGAAATATTGAACCATTAGAATAACATACAATAGCTGTGAGGAGGTTTTCGAGGTAGGCTGGTAAAGCGTGGTTAGCCTTTCAATAAAAGCCAAGTCGTCAACTCTTTTTTTATCTATAAATATTGACTTGGAACGTAAAAAATGTGATTATTGAACGGCAGGAAATTTCTCTCAATAATGGCGCTGAGTATTTCAACGCTTAGACATCTTTAGTGAATATTAGATTTTGACTCGTGCGAGATAATGAGTATTTAAGGGCTTGTCTGGTGGACTGTTAGCGACCACACACATTATCTATATCGTCATTTGTCACTCATTGGTTTCTTTTGACTTAAACGGTTCTCCATATTCGCACAACTGAAATGTTAGAATTCATAATGACTGATCTAGTCGTTCTTCATCGTGAAATAAGGCGAGCACATGAGAAAACTAGAACGTTATACGTTTGATCATAATCAACTACCAATGTGTCAGTGCGATGATAAAGTTGACGCAAAATTTGGCTGCCCACAGTGCGGTAGGAGAACACCAACCAATATCAATGTAGAGATAGATGCTCAGCTATGCAGGCTCAGTATAAGTATTGTAACGATGCATGCTTGTTTCTTATGCGATAAGGGATGCGCAGTAACGTAATTTATTGAATAGAAACTTATTTTTTTCTGTTATACGCTTATCTCTAAAAACTCAGTGGTAGCTGCTAATTGCACAACAAAAATAAAACACGTTGAGTTGACAGCAATGGTCAGTGTTACTAGAAAAGTGCAATTGTGCGGGTGGGCTATTCTTGAAGTGCACAATCAACGTGCGTCTGGCTCACACAATGGAGCCTGGACCTGGACAAAGGCCGCAAGGATATGCTGCGCTTAAATTTGGCTGCATTAACTGGAAGATTTCATGAACAGCTTTATTTCGTCCACGCATAACCTTCGCCTTTCATGTCTGCTTCTTCTCTCTTCATTCCGTGTTATGAATTTCTACCTATTTCATCGAAGTGTTTAGATTTAGGATGAGCACCATTGTCCGGAAACGACCACGCTGTTAGCGAGAGTGTCAAGCACATTACATTTATTTTATTGAAAGGGTGCCCAGCGGGAAACACTCCTACAAACAGCTTTTTCGGGTCATTTGCGACAAATTTACGGTTGGTGGCAACTCAAACGAGAAATAAAAGAACTACAGCTACTCATATAGTCAAGACTGCCGACAAGAAATGCACTAGCATCTATTTGAGATCTACTAACAGCAGTTAGGGCTGTTTTGTGGCGGCCACACCTACCTTTGAAAATGCACATGATGGCACTCTCGCTACCAGCATGCTCGATCGAGAACAACAACGCCGGGTGTCATGAATTTGCTGCTCTGTCCATCGGGTACTTGCGCTAATTTTTCCCCGTGGCGACTGTACATTGTGATCACTTTTAGTGGTAGTGCCCGAGCGATGGCCTTGCTTAGGGATGGCTGCTTGTAGCGCCTTGGAGCGATAGCGACAGCAAAATCGTTTGCTTTTGGTATCGTTTAATGGCGTGCTAAACAATGCATGGTTGATGAGCGAATGCCTCCAAGATTACTACTTCCTCCTCTATTAGAAGGTTACGCAAGAGGCCGATCAGCGACATGTCATCTGATATTCGCAGAATATCAGTGAATGCGTTTGGGCAGGTAAGCGCACTTTATTGTGAAATTTTCTATGCTTCCAGTTTTTTCGCGTAACAGGTGCAGTTAGCTCTTGGCTAGATGACGCATCCAGCCGTACTGAGGATGAAGGGTGTAATGAAACCTGCACACGCGCATGCAACTTTTCAGTGCAGCCTTGATCAGGCGTGCATGGTAAACCCAGTTGCCTAAACATTACACAACATCGAGAATGTTTCGTCGGGTTGCCAATTTAGGGCGTTGTCAACGTTGACCCAGACAAATCACTTGTGCGTTCTCTTTCATGAAGGATCACATTACACACTTGGTGGCTTACTGAGTGCCCTTATGTCTCTAAAAAGACGCATACCATGAGTGCTTGAGAAACTTGGTTATAAATGTTTCTACGCTGGAATTTGCAGGACCCTACATGTATGCTCAGAACCTGCGTTTCGCCATCAGTAAGGCTCACCTAGTTTCAGTCAAGATGAGCCCTACTCCTGACACAGGTCGTTGTTTCACATTTTGGTAAGCAACCGTGCGTTATTTGCACTGTTTCTGCATGAAAATATTTTCTGTATCTACTGGGAACGTCTCTGCTTGTGTGCTGAGTTTCATTAAGCATGCGCGTTTTCGCAACAGAACTGAATACGTATTTGGTACTGGGTTTATCTCGACCGACTTAACATTCTAAAGAAAACTATTACGCGAATCGTAGACCAACGAGACTTTCTCATTTGCAATTACTCATGCGAAAATACGATTGTTATTTCGTTCCCTAAAAATGGGAGTGAAACAAGTGTTATGAAACATGACAGAGGTGAGGGCACGCTCGAATAATGGGAAGGCAGACCATTCGCCAGATGCATTTGCCTATTGCAGTTGCCGAGAAGCGTTCATCGGAGCATACAAAACGTGCAATTATGCCGCTACACTTTCTTAATTGAAAGTAACATACTCAGCGATTGACTTGATTTTTAAAATCAATTGCTGGGTATGTTACTTTCTACAAACTGTTAATATTTCAGAATGCAATAATTTGCCCCTTATTTAAAACAATATCCGGGGTTCTAGGGTAAAAATCACGATACGATTATGGGGGACACCAATAGAGACCTCCGGAAATGCGGAATATCTGACGTTCTTTAACGTGCCCTGACATCCCAAAGTACATGGGCTTATACCATTTGGCCTTCATCGAACTGCGACTGCCACGGCAGGGATGAAACCAGTGACGTTATAATGAAGCTTTTCTTCCTAACTTCCTTTTGAAGATTGATTAAATATATTTTCGTAGTTTTAAGTGCAACGTAACAAACTGCATCCAAATGAAGGTATTACTCAAAGACATTGCCGTTTATGCTAGATCATACTTTATGTTGCTACAGCGAATGACTGCGAAAACAGAAAGTTTTTCCCGTAGCAATAGCGGCCAACGTATCCGACCTTATGTATTATATTGCTGTACAGGTACAACATGTGGCATCCGAATGTTGGTAGGCTAAACCTCGTGAAGCGCGTGGAAAACGAATCTAATAGCCTGCTGTGGACACGCTTGTCACCTCAAGGCAAAGAATGGAAGCAAGGCCAGGTCCAAGTCTACTCGGATGATCCTCATCAGGTAAGCATCAGCAGTTTTCTTTGTGCGCTTTTTTTTCACACAATATTAGGAAAGCAGACCACCAGGTGCGAAAGTAATATGTTATAATTGTAAGAGATATGCTTTTGCATGCGAGAAATACCTTCTGCATTATTCTGCCTTCCCATTGCCGTATAAAACGTGCTCTTTGCCCAGAAGGTCAAGTGGCTTAATTATTTGAGACAATTAGCTCTGATGATGTCTCAGCAATAAATGGGGTGAACTGCCAACAGTAACGCGATATCTTAACAGCGAAAAACTTGCGTGAGCCCTTTATGCATTAGCCTAACGTGACTAGAAGAAGAGAGCCGTCTTCTACGTTTATATTGATTCGATGTATTGATCCACTCTCTTCCTTATTTGAAAGCTTTCTGAAACAAATCTGGTCTTGAATTGCCTCGAACATCGATGGCATTCCAAGCTTCCTGCATCTCATTGATTTTGCATTTTCTCCGTGACCGGTCACCTTTGATGATCAATCTATTATGTAATGTGCTGACGTCATTATCTGATGTTATGGACAAGTCATAATACGTGAGAAATTTCAAAATCTGGTGATTTCGCTTTGACATCTTACAGTGGCGTCATCACGTAATGATTTTGCGTCACTCGGGTTGAAGTTGACAACAAGGAACATCCAAGTAGATTTTAGCGAACGATAAGGCATCTAAGGCATGTGTCCTAACAAATAAAACCAACTAATTCAAAAATTGTGGCGAGGGTATGCAAACGTCTGTGATGTCCATAAACCATGCTACTAATTCAGCGTCTGCTGCTACTCATAAACGAAAGATCAAAGCTACTGAACGATTGAATAGTAGCCAAAGTGGAAGCTACGCAAACAACGCCTGTTTTATTTCTTTAAATGCCAGTGCAAACGCGCGCGCGCTTATCAACAGGAGCCGTCAGTCCGCCTAACATCAGGGAGTGGTCACACTGCTTACGTGAGACGTGCTTCTGAGTACTTTCCGCCACAGATGATGTAGACGTGTTTCCCACTTTATCATCATACGACTGTAAGATTTATTCCTTTTACCTCCTTTTTTCTTTTTGTGGCTGTGTGCAATGCCGCCTCTCATTGTGGCGCAGCGCATGTAGTAGCGTTGCAGTGACGCTTCCTCATTGGTTACTCGCATAGTGCCTTGAACGGCGACACGCTATCTCAAAACACTGTATCTTTATAGAGCTTGCGTGACTGCCAACATAGTGAACACGAGGAATGCAAGACGCTGCCCCACGGACTTGCGCACAACTGAAAAAAAAATACTTCTTATGATTTTCGCTGTGAGGCACTGCATGATGGGCTCTCCAGCCTATGACCACAAAGCACTCGTGAAGGCTAGGGGATGGGCCAGAGCAGTGAAGGGCTAAAGTAGAGGGTCGTGAATGGCTGGATCAGGTGCATCTGGCTGGCATTGATAAAATAGAAGAGGCATTGACGCAAAGAGTGGGAGAAGATTATTGAGAATTTAAAGGTAAAAGTGAAGCATATTTGCGTGTGCATTGCCATGCACGTCGGCGGGAGCGACAGTTGTACATGGCAATTTCCTGCAGACGGAAAGAAACTGCGTCATAAAAACTAATGAAGGCCTTCATATCAGATGCTTGCTTAAACGTGTATCAGCGAACGCCTTTCCTTTTGATAATCGTTTTCTTTTAGATATTACGCTCATGGTTTGGTTTGTTTTAGGAAAACTTTATTGTTACGTTGACGGTGACGGCAACTTATTTCACACGTTGCGTGCGAGAAAATGAAATGCCTGTTATTTCGCACGTGCACTTTCCTGCAATAAAACAGTTAAAAGTCAGGGCTCCATTTGCTCTTTTCTTCACCTACAGCAGTGGCAGAGTACAGGAAATGGTGTGAAGTTTTAGGGGCATTTATCACCTACCACTGCAAGTGTTTTTACTGAGCCATTTTGTTTGTTTGTTTTTACGTTCGCAGCTGATCTTTGAAGCTGTGCTTTTCTCCGGCAAACGAGGCATGATCGCTATTGACAACTTCGTACTCAACGACACCAGCTGCAGTAGTGACAAATGTGGGTATTTCTTTCGCTTTGTCAACGCCAAGATGATTTACTAGTCTGACGTACAGCAGAATATTAAACACGAAAGTTTTCCTAGTAAACCCAAGACATTATTACCGTTTCTCCTAATATATACTAACCTGCCTTTGAACCTATATGCCTAGATGCCTACGCTTTCAAGGTCTCGCAGTCATCTGCGGATCTTGGTATATACGAAAATTGGCACACGAGGAACGTGAACGAATTAAGAAGACAAATCGCATGTCATATCATGAATAAAATCTAATTTCTTACACATACGTCATGAAATCAATTCCAACAGTGTCTAGAGTCACATATAGGCATACCATGGTCCGCGCTACTGGTATGCACCACAGGTCGTTCACAGACCGTCTAATCCCAGACTTTAGAAATCTTGCCTTCACAGCCAGGGTGCCTGTGTCACAGAAAATGCGGTGCAGGAATCGGCGTCCTTGTTGATAGGCGAAATATCCCGATGTATGAAATGAAGAACTACTTTGGTTCGTGCCACAAACAAGCTCAAACATCCGGCATGGCCGTCAGTTATCAACGCGACGGTGTTAAAGAGCTCGTTCCGCAGAAATTTTTGTGTTGGTGGTGGGTGTGGTGGCAGTGGTTGTGAGCAAAGAATCGGGGTTTTGTGAGAGTGATAAGTCGATACACGCAAGTAAATAAGAATCAATCTTACATTCGAGTGGCGATCGAACCCAGGTCATTAGCGAGCAAAGCAAGTGTGCCTTCGTGTAGCCACGCCAGTGCACTTTGTAAAAAACTGTTTCGAGATTGACTTGTGCTAGGAAGTGTCTCATTAGCGCATGTAATGTAATATTGCGTGGCAAGGTCATAGAATCGCATACCTGGCGTCAAAATATGTGAATTACGCGACAAATGGGTTGTTGAAAGCTGCTATATGGCGCGAGCTTTCTATTCGTGCCACATTGCTCAGAAGATGTTAGTGTTGTGAAATTGTTGAGCGACCATTGAGTAGTCATTGACCTGAGGTCTGAGTTGATAAGCTTATAGCACTATCTTCAAAAACAGCACTCACTGCCGCCACCCACAATACCAGGTAACCATGCTTTCAGTCAGCAAACTTCATGTACAAGCTTTATGTAAGGACATCGCCGAATGTGGTTGTAGGTTTGGCTATTCCTCCTATCAGCGTAATAAAAAATGCATATGCACACCTGTGATTTCAAGGATTATATCCAAAACGCTTCGCGAATACGCCTAAGCCACCTGTAACAACATGCACGTTAGGACGAATGGGCATTCGTATTTTTATTGATAAAATAGTTCCCTGATTCAGCCTGAAATTCTTTAATACAGCTTGAAATTATCAAAACATTCCAGAAATTTGTCGAGAACCGCTTAAGCAAATCGAAAAAAAAAATCGTATAGTGTATTTCACGGCATTTGATCTGCCAAAGATATTGAATTGAGAGAGCAAGAAAACATGCGGGTTTCATTCAGTTTTCTTTTATGATTGCGACCACAACTCAGTGGGCATTCCCGGCTGATTTTAGCTATTATCATGTCCTGGATGTCTATACTTACTTACGCATGTGAATATTCATAGACAGAAATAACTGTGCACAAAAGCATTTTAAGTCAACATATCGGGGATTCAAACAAGGGACATCTGGCTCCACAGCTCACTGCGCTATGAACCACAGACACACGCCATGTCTGTACTGGTCATATCACGGCGACTGATTCATGATCAGCATTTGGCGCTTGCGGTACATGGGTCTTCGAACATCTTGAGTGTATCTTAAAGGCGAAGCTCCTCTTAGTCTAACCTTGTCCTGCGTCAGGTGTAACCGAAAGAATAAGAGACGAAAAAAAAAGGAAAATACTATCTTTCTAATAGTGGAATAGACAGCGCTGTCTCATAGAAGTAAATGCAAACTGCAGTTGATTGAGGATATTCTAGATGGCGCTGTATCACTACTCACCGATTGGCTGCTGCGCGGGCTGTGGTGGGGTGCGCGAAGAAGGCGTGCCTCTCTTAGTCACTTGAATCATATCCGTAGGTGGCGAATCGTTGGAGGGGCATGGACGAAGCAGAGCGGCGGGCGCGGAGTGCCGCGGCGGCTCATGCTCGTTGCCTCATTGTAGAGGCATGGACGAAGCGGTGAGGAGGGCCTCGGTGGCACGTGCTCGTTGCCAGACAGACAACAAATAAACACACATACATACAGAGAGACGGACACACGCATGCACGGATGGACAGACACACGGACGAATGTACAGACAGACAGACAGACAGACAGACAGACAGACAGACAGACAGACAGACAGACAGACGGATGGACGGACGGACGGACGGACGGACGGACGGGAGCTTCGCCACACTCACCATCATTCACTCCGTGGATTATGCTGTGATGTTTCTATCGCCAATGCTTTTACATTTTCTTCTGCATTGAAAACTGTTCATGAGACGCGTACGACAAAGTGGCCCCCTTCTGTACCCCTCATTATGTAAAAAAATATAAATTGTGGCTGATCCCTCTCTTTAGGAATCAGTATAACGCGAAAATAAAACGGGTCTTCACAGAGGTAGTTGAGTGTTTATTGTACGTCGTTTCACCACTAAGGCGAAAGAATAAATGCTGGGGCCGCAAATTACTTTGTCAAGTGTAGAACGGCAGCAGCTCGAAACTTGCAGCGTGCACCCTGAATAGAAAGCACACATGCAATGTAATTGGCAATGTAATGTGGCAGTTGCTTGACCGCGCTTTACCCACAGGTAAAGCGCGGTCAAGCAACTGCCACCGCTCGATACCTAAAGCACGCTGCTGAAAGAAAAGAAAACCAAGGCATATCCACGGGGTGAATGATGATGAGTAGGGGAAGCTCCGGATGGAATCATCGATAGACTGAATCTTTCGCGTAATTCGTCTAGTTGATCATCATTTAATGTTGTGAGAAACGATGTGTGTGTGTCCCGTGACGCTTGGGTTTGCAGCAGAGAAACCCGATCGGCGGGATCTTTGAGGTGGCGTCGCAGAGCTTCACGGCGCGCTTCCGCCCAGCGGGCTCGCACATCGGGATTCTGTCTGCGAGCACGCTGCCGCCGCCTTGCGCGCTCGCCACTCTGCAGCCTTGTCCATCCAGCGGCTTCGAGCACGCACCGAGAGCGAATGAATTTTATTATGACGTTCTCCCTTTACGTCCCCGCGCTAAATCAAACGATTGCCTTCCACCAATGACACGTGCCATATGTGACATCATTCCTATTATACATCTCGCATCTTTCATCATCAACTACAAGTACCACCCTCTAGTTTTATAACAACTCACATCTTTTCATCAACTGCAAGTACCGCCATCTAGTGAACACTGAAATAACTGAACTACAGGTGGGCACCTACTACTACAACTACATACGTCAGAGGACGTACAGACCCACGCCTTAAGGAACTTCGCCCCTAAAATATGCATGAAGTGAATGCAGAAGTATATACCTGAACAACTAGGGACAACTGTCAGAATTTTTACATTATGTGTCATCAGCGCCTTCCTTTCGGAAACACGGCTGCGGCTGCGAGCGAGGTGACCTTTGCGCTTTTTTTTGATCAATGTAGCTTTAAAAAAACTGGCGGTGGAAGCACAAGAGGTACGAAGCATCTGAATGCTGAAATAAGCACAAGCCCCAATGTGCGAGCACGCCTCAAAGCTTCTATAAGGACTTTGACCACGCCATGCGGAGGCGCGTGCGCATCGGAACGTGTGGGGTGGCGCGGGGCTTCGACCTTTAGAGCGCCTAAGTGCCCAGCATGTGACGCTCGTGCCAACTCGCTATTAATGACAAAAACGCGCTGCAATCGCTGAGCTCTGAAGGCTGTCAATGGTACACGGTGTATACAATCAGGTTTCCCTTAAGCTGAGCAACAAGCACTTGGTCGTGTGCTGAGGATTGAGAGGATGCTGGTTCGACGCCCCGCTAAAAAACTTTTTATCGCGTTTCTTGCAAATTATTCGAACGCGTTTCACAACGTCATATTCGTGACAGAAATTCGTCAGCGAAGCCGTAGTGGAGCCCGGCATAAAACACATTGATGTTTAAAATGCATACGGAGCCCACTTAAAGTCCCTGAAAAAAAACTAAACTAGCGCCATTTGTGTCAATGTACAGGCTCCTCTCTCCTAGCATGCATGGCAGACTGTAAACGACGCTAGTTTAAAGGCTGCATGGCTCCTGGCCACAAAGATGGGCGTGTGCTCATCTTTCCGTTAGAGCTCATTTTGGTGCTGCAGCTCTAGACGATGCACCGAGAAAGTGACTGAGAAAGAAAAATAAAAAGTAACGTTAAATACGATGATCTGACGAGTATATAAGCAAGTGGCATGCAGTGGCAAAAAACATCACTGCAAGCACGCAATACTCAACGCTATAGCCCATCGTTTGCGTGCACATGCGCTCAGATGTTCTCGATGGCAGCGCCACTGCTGTCCTTGTAAACTCGGCGGTGCTAAGAATCTGCAGCATGACGCACTAGCTTTTGTGAAGGTATCGCAAATGCCATATTGTTCGCCCACTTTCGCGAGCACGCGCTTCACGAACAGAGGCCACCGGCGTACCCTTTCGACATACCCGAGGCACGGCCACTCGATGAACACATGGCGCAGCCGTCTCCGAGCTACTCAAGCGTCTGACACATTCAGTGCGCCCGCGTGCTTTCCCGTTCCTATTTTTCTGGTGGACACCCTAGAGGCGCTGCTGTGGTTGCTGGTAGAGGAGGTAGAGGCGAAAAGGTCTGGTTGGCGATACATTAGCTTTTTTTAAGGAACTTTAGGCCCATTTGGGGTCAGACGCCACCACGTGGCAGGAGACGTAGTGGGGTCATTCTACGTGCCACTGTTTAAAAGAAAAAAAAGCGAACGGCGTTGGCTTCTACATTGTGGGCATTTGCAGCACGTTCCTCCAACACGAACAATTAACAAGTATGATATTCATTAGTTTACATTGGTCCTGTACGTACCCATGCGTTATTTTTACCGTCCTTCGTTATGCTGCAGCGACGTGCTGAAAGTATTGATCTAATTGTCATTCGTCGTGTGATACTCTAGAATAGCTTGTTGCTGTTCCAATCGTTGCTTTGCCCTATAGTAGTGAAACTGACTTTTTTTACTTGAATAGACACCAGAGTGTAAAGTGTTTTCTTGGGTTTTGGGCGTATATTCAGATTATTTTTTGTTACACATCTAAATTTGATGACGCTTAATTATAGGAAATTATTTTTGTTCGACAACATATTATTCTTTTGGTTCTCATTAATAATGTTCGATCAGGTGGTATCATATTTCTGGGCTTTGGGAGATTTTCTTAAACTTGTTTGTACAATGTCGTGCAGTTGGAGGGTGCAACTTCGAGTCTGATTCGTGCGGGTGGCAACTGCACAACTGGCAGCGCACCAGCGCGAGCATGAGCTTCAAGCCTACGGCTGATCACACAACCCAGTCATCCACAGGTGAGGCTGCAGTGCGGACATGAAGTAACTACGATCAGCCAGGTTTTGAGAATTCATAGATGCACACCGATTAATAAAAGCACAATGCTGTCACGTTTTTTTTTTTCGCGGTGGAGCAAAATATGGCCCCTGGAAGTGCAAATATAGGAAGGGCCATTTCATTGGGCGAACCTCATTGGTCAGGAATACAAACATGGAACGTCCACCTATAGGGGAAGCGCAGTAGTCGACCATCGAAGTCTGATCTGATCTGAGTATAATAACGCTCCGGCAGTTTATTGTGGAGCCATGGTGCACTTCGACTTCATCGCTGGTGCTTCTAAAGAACTTTGAATTAATTTTACTATTCGCATCATGTAGACGATCTGATAAGAATGTTAGAGAAAATTGGAATACACCAATGCTGCCTCACACTAAGAGATAGCATGGGTCTGGTTTCCTCCGGTGAAGTTTCATAAAAATAAATAGGTGAAATATTTAACACATAGAGCTTCCTAAATATACACTAGAGGAAACTCTGGCGCTAATGTTTATGGGAGATGCAACGCACGGCGCTTCATCGCTCATGAAATTGATGGGTAGTACACAGATTTGTCTAATCTTCGTATTTCTGGCTCCGTTTTGTGTTCATGTGGCTTGGAGCTGTTTTGTCCACAGATCGAAAATGGCAAATGTTCAGCAGTTGCGCTTCACTATTTGACTCCTTTAGGCTTTCCATTTTGAATCATGGGTCACGAAGTTCAAAAGTGTCCCGTCTTTCCTTGCAAATAAAACTGAAACACAGCAATTAACGAAGCCATGGGTGGGATTCACCGCACGCAAGTTTAAGTGCGAAGACTAGGCAAATCCATGTACTGCCCATCATTCCTATGGTCGCTGAATGATCACTGCGCCACGGTCTCCTTTCGGCAATTTTAGTAAACTCTATGATTTAACCTACTCATATCAGTATAGCAATTTAATTCTGAATGAATGTCTCTGATATTATTGGTATGAAAACGTTGCAAATGAACGCGTCCTGTAGACAAAGTTTTTTTTTTTTGCGATATACCTGCTGACGTATATGTTATGTGGGTGACCTTTTTATATATTTTCAAGCGTGCCCCCTCACATTCTGATGGCTCTCGGAGATTTTATTACTTTACTGCTTGAAAAATATGTTCCTTTTTATTATTGCCCGAAAGTTTTGGACTAAGATTTGTAAGCCTTATCCGTCACATTTACAAACCTCACCGCAAAGTGTGCTTAAAATTTTTTGCCCCAGTACAACTATACCTTCTGTACTTCGCTAACAAAACTTTATGACAGGGTGAAATGCCTATTGTTTTCTCATAAAAAACCTTTGAGGACTATTCTGCCTTTATTTCTACTCTTTCTGTTCATTCACTCGGTACCACCGATAAAGCATCGAAACTCGCAATTTATGGCTTGGCCAATAAAAGTATCGCAAAACTAGTTATTTTTTCTGAACCATACATGTGCTAGCTTGTTTTCTCGCTGCTTTATTAGGTTGTTTTTCTTGTGCAAATAAATCCTGGAGCATTATTTTACTGTCATATGGTGTTTGGAAAGATACCACATACTATATTTTATCCTTAGTTCAGGGGAATATCCCTCAATCTTCTAGCTGGATGGTAGTTAGTAGTTATTGCTTTAATATCGATGAATGCTGGCTGGGTGAGACGTTCGCTCGTTAAGGTTTCCTCAACTAACCACTAAGAGTAAGTCAATGCAAACTATATATCACTGATTCCAGTAAGAATGAATCAGGTGGTTAGCGTGTGTGGATCACTTGAACTACAAATTACGACAGTTATTTGTTATGATTCGCTGAGTAAAAAATTGCTCTTAATAAGATCTCCAGTGATGTACTGCACGAGCTTCATTTTTTTCCTGGTCAATTCTCATTTTACTTGAAAGACAGGTTGAGTTACAAGGGAAGTTTACGAAATGCGATAATCAGAAAAAATGTTCTGTGCGTCCATCGTACACGCATACTTACCCGAAACACTTTTTGTTGTGTCTGATATGTCACTTATAAAATCTGTTACACCTAACATATTTGTTACTTCTGTGACCCTTTCTTGTAATATAGTTTGTTGCGTCTAATATCTCAGGCCGCTTCGTTCTGGCAAAGAGTCCTGGTGGCCGCATGGTTAGCCCTGAAAGCTGGTACGACGCGACTCAGCCGAAGTGCTTCCGCTTTTGGTACTTCCTCACTGGCACACCCGCGGAAGTGCTTAGGGTTACCCGAGTGCTCAAAGGAGGTCAGGAGGTGGCACTATGGCGTGACACGCCGTATCAAGACAACAGTAAACTGTGGCGTCAAGCATCAGTGAACCTGCCCGCTTACAATGAAACACCTACGGTAAGTGGATGCTAATGATCAATGTAATTATTATCTTTCCTTTGATACATATTACTAAACGTAAGGGTGGTCTACAATATATACAAGCCAATTTTCATTGCATAGCACAAAATGCTGAAATCTAGCCACGACGGTTTGCCCAATAAAGGTGAAAACGAGAAAATAGGAAAAAATAACCGCAAGTATACTTATGAAGTGAATGATAGCAAGCGGGCGAAGCTTCGTAATCTCCGTACATTGCCCACTAGACCATGAAAAGACGTGGCAATGCGTGCGTAGAGTATATACAAAGCTGTTTATTGATCACAATGCGCATACGGTGCTGAGAGGAGGGCGGCTTTTTCTTTTAATTATGACCGCTATGTGATCGGGGAAATGTAAAGCTAAGGGCTCTTGTATGAGATCCAACATGAAACTTGAAAAGACGACCCATGCCGCTGCAGCCTCGCAAGTCCTCAACTCCGAGTCGGCTTGTCGGTTCTGCCAGGCAGCAGACGCTTTGTTTGCCCGAAACTCTGGACTGCGTTTCCGCGCAGCCACGCTGCGAGCCGTCATGTTTTCATTCATAACGAAGTGCACTCCATGGCCAGGAAAGAAAGAGAGCCGGGAGGGAGCTCATTGTATAGCAGTTGGGGATCTATATAAGGTGCTTCGCCCCTAAAACTTAGGTGCTACAGATGCCTCCTTAATATTACCGAGTCTAGTTGCTGTTACACCATAGATGTTGGTGGCATTTGTCTCTTACCTAGTGCAAGGTAGCAAATTAGGTACATGCTTTGCGGTTAACCTTCCTGCCTCATTTTCGGGCCAGCATTAGAGCCAGCATTTTAGTCCTTTATGCCAAATCACAAGTTTGAGTGATGCACTGATCGTTTGCAAGTGAATTTTAAAGATTGCCTCGAACCTCACTTGCCTAAATTATTGGCAACACTGTCTGTGTGACGTCATGTTTGACATGTAAATGGAAGTGACGCAGCTGATGACATCGCTACTTTTGCCGCTACAGCGTTTATTGTGCTTTACTCAAGGCGACGGCAGCAGTTTTTGGCACGGGTATAGCACGCGAATGCTTTTTTTCTGCCTAAAAACTTTTGAAAAACTTTCTTCCTTAAAACTTTGCGCCGGCGGAACCAGTATACGGCCTCCGGCTCTACCAAATAGTACGTCATGCGCAGACAGGGCGCTCAGTTGGGTTTCGGTTTCAGTAATGCACATTTTTGCTTATAAAAATTATTTTCTAATTTCCTGAGAATTTCAACTATTGGGCTTTTGACAAGAGTGTCTCGGGAACACTGAAACACCATAATCTTGATATGGTAAAAAAAAATCGCCGTAGTGGGCCTTTAACACCAAACTGCAATAAAGATGCTTAGTGACGTTATGCCAGCAATTTTGGGTTGAAATTAAAAAGTGAAGCACTCAGCCTTTTTAATTTTTTGAAGATGAACTGCAGAGAACTCAGGTCACAATAAATTCATAAACAATGCGCAACCACTCCAAGTTTATTTGGTCTTTCACGTTAGTATTCCTTTAAAGCCCGCGCGCTCGCAGGCGGTTGCTTAGACGGGGAATGAATAGTAAAATAGAGCAGAGCTACTCGGCTATGAAAGACAGTTGTGTGCTTTTAAAATGTTGATATCTTAATTTATCCCGATACTTCTAGCCTAGTTTATCTAGAATTCTAATGTTGGCTGATACAGCAACGCTCTGGTTTGCAACATGTACGTATATCGTGCTTCGAAGCTGTTAAGAAGCCTGAAGGTTACGTACTTCATTCAGGCAAGTGGTCCTGTTCCCTATTATTCGTTATTGCTGGATGGATCTGTGGGATTCAACGTCCCAAAACCACCATACGATTATGAGAGACGCCGTTGTGGAGGGCTCCAAAACTTCGACCACCTAGGGTTCTTTAACGTGCACCCAAATCTGAGCACACGGGCCTACAACATTTCCGCCTCCATCGTAAAATGCAGCCGCCGCAGCCGGGATTCGATCCCGCAACCTGCGGGTCGGCAGCCGAGTACCTTAGCCACTAGAACACTACGGTGGGACTTATTCCTTATTCTTGAACATACAATGTTTGTAGCACAGCACGGGCGCATTCGTTGGTTCCTTCTGTGCTCCTAATTCGATTTTATAGCATTGTGTATTTTTAAACTTGCAGAAAAACGGTCACACCGATGTATAACATCACTGAACATTTCACTTATATGGAGCGATTTTTCTAAAAACTTTTGATTAGGGGTTTGTTTTTTTTTACATGTAACTTACACAGTTTCCCAATGCAGGCTCTAACTCACATTCATTGCATGCAGAAACAAAAAGATATGTTCAGACAGAAACGCTGAAGATCTGTAGTGAAATTGGTGTAAATAAACATCGAAATAAAAATTTCACTCTGTATTCAGGTGTATACTGCTTTGCTTTGAACCACGCAATGGGTGTCTTTTGAAAACGTGGCTGATCCCGTTAACTGGTATAACACGAGTTTTATCATAAATGGTTGAGCAAATATTGTGTATTGTTTCAGCATCAGCATCAAATTGTCATGTCACCACGTGAAGACCGGCAAGCAGCTCCAAACTTTGAGCGCACACCTCACGCAGAAAGCATGCACAAAATTAGCATACACAGCGCGAGTGCGGACTAACAACTGTACCAGCTCGACACTTTAAAGTGCGCTCTTCAAACGGAAAGAAAAACTTACAAAACGAGCGCACTTTAATACAGAGTACAAGTGTGAACAGCTGTGACAATGCTTACTTCGTTGTGTGTCAGCAGCGCAGTCTTTTACAGCGAAAGCTGTTTGAAGATCCCAACAAGGGTCGCATCCAGTGCCATAGTTGTCCGCCACCACCGGTGTCCGAAACCACTGTAGCACGAAATAAGCAGAAAGAAACACGAAGGACATAGTGAGATGAAACCCGTGTTCTCTGCGTGTGAGACCAGTATTCTTCCGCAAAGATTGGCCGGCGCTTTGAACTCGACAGCAAACTTGTCTTAGGCAGGCATGATGTAGGGAAAAGAACTGCATTAGTATTAGCAATAAGGCGTTTAAATGAGCAAACGAATAACCAGGTGTCATACAGTCTGGGTTGCGTAACGAGTGGGCTGTCCAATGCTCGAATTCATCACAAAAGCTTGTCCTTAATCATCTATTAACTGTGGCGTATACCCACTTCAGGTATAATTCTTCATTGTCCTCAACCACTGCAATAAAAATATGAACAAAATTCCTTGCACATGTGTAACGAATACCACGCTTTTCCTAGAAATGACGAGGAATATAGCATAGTGAATGCCTCGTTCCTTCCTGAAGTGGTCACAATAACTGTAATAAGGTAGAGAAACTTTTTGCTTCGAGCAGATGCCATAGAATCAATACCGTCAGGAACAGAGCTTAGTCATATAAAAGTTCAATGAAAAATTCAGCTGTGTCCTACCAGACAATGAGTAGACGCATAAAATGGATTACATTGTCGCATTGTTTCCTTCCCCCCCCCCCTCCCGTAAATTTGTATTCGCATAGGGCTGGTCTCGTGATATCTCCTCCATGCAACTTTTGTTCACGACCAGAAATGTAGAACTTTACATTTTGTCATATCCTCCATACAGATTATCAGGAAAAATAGTTCTTGTTACCGCTTTTACTAGGCTGGCACTGAACTTGTCAAGTGGCAATCTACTTAACTTCCGTGCTTCGCCTTTGGGCTTGAGCCACAAGAACGCTTTTGATGCCGTTTGTGCTTACCTTCAAGAAACAAACTTTTAATTGGCTCCTTGTGTCTTTTATCAGTCCAGCAATTTTTTAACATAAAAATATTTATTTTTTATTTATGAATAACATTAGCATGATCTTTTAAAAATCTTGTTCATTTGTAATTATTATAACGACTATACTCTCTGGGCTGAACGGGAGGAAAACACTAATTGCATTGTTTTTGTTTTGTGAACTTTATTTTTTTTTAATATTCAATACTGAGAAGGCCTGCCTCAAGTAATTTTTCGCCAATTCGAATGAGTGAGTGTGAGCCATATTGAAGGCGTCATCATCATCATCATCATGAATGCGGCCTACAACATCTAAAATTATGATTACTTATGGCGTAGTGGGTATCCACAAAGTGGGCTTGTAGCGGTTACCCAAAGAGCGTTTAGAAGAAAAGGCTCTAAAAGGCCGCTCGTCCACTTTTCGTTGGGCTGCGCGTTCCACAAAGGCCTGGCGCTTTTTATCGTAACGCGGCTGAGGAAGCGACTGGAGGAACCTTCGTCCCGTGCCGAATTGCGAGTCTGATAAGTGTGCACGCAGGAGAGACGACGCTTCGTGTAGGGGGTGCACAAGAAGGCGACAACCTTTAAGGCACACCCAATGTGAGTACATTGCGCCGTCTCAATACTGATAAAAAAAAACGTGTTATATTCTGAAGTATTGAAGCAGGGTTGCCAGATCCCTGAAGAGAAAGAGAGCACCAAAATTAACCAAAGTAGTCAGAAAAGTAGTCAATCAGCAGCCGTTATTTTATTTTGGAGCAAAAAAAATTTGCCAATGACGATTACAGTTTAGTTAAATGATCACCAAATTCTGACGTGCAATGTCTACCACATCAAAGAAGAGTAAAAAACAACAGGTGACTTCTTTTAGGAGGTGATAAATATAGAAAATGGAAATTGGTAGAGCACCGACAATCAAGTCTACATAGTTCAGTTCGCTTTTGTTAGCATGCCCCACGGCACTGTTAATATAAAAATTAACAACGTCCTCCATATTTTGCACTAAATGTGGAGCACTTTTTTAATGACGTTAACGTAGATCTTATAACACCTTCGAGACATAGTTCGAATTTCATCATGATGATCGCGAGAAGTCCGTGCGATACTCTATTGTTTAAGTCACTTTCTGTGAGAGGCACAATGAGACCCTCGCTCCTCTTCTGCAATAAATTTAGAGAGAACAAGAAGTTTCATGGGCCTGTCTGGAATTACTTGCATAAGATTAGCACCTGATACATCCCTGTAGGTTCATGTATCGATCTGAAATTCTATTGCTGGCGTGTCAGCACCCATATCGAGAACTTTTTGAATGTCCATACTTGCTCCTCACCACGGTCTCGGGGCAACCAATCATGTCTCTTGGCAAGCTTTCATCGTATTCGGCCCCGTAACAGACGACGAGATGTGCAGTCTGCGGCTAAAGTCACTAGAAAAAGAAGACCGGCTGGGCTCTCTGCATTCAAATATTTTCTTTTTTTATTGTGTATGTTTTAACAGATCACGCAAAAAAAAAAGCTTAGACGCATTCACGTGCACGGGCAACGCATCCAGTTCTTGAGTTCCAGTGGTGAAAAATAGTGATAAAAACACAGGCTTAACCTTTTCAAACAAAATAAAATAGAACACTCGACATCACAAACGTCATGGCTGACAAGTGCGGCAGCGTGGTCAGTAGGAATAGTAAACAAGAATGAAAATAGCTAACGTGGTTGCTTGGGCGAGTTGGTATGACATGATTCACGTAAAAAGCAGCGCCAATAACGAGGGACAAGAGAAAGAAGGAGACAGACAGCGGCACTTTGAAGAATGAAAAATAACTGCAAGAAATGCGACATCTATGCACTTTGTGCAAGGCTTTTATGAACCGCGTGTATCCACTTTTCGCCTATGTTCGCCTATGGATTGGTGCTACCCATGCAGCTAAGATCATTAGCGCATGAGGCGGATAGCGGCTAAAAAGCCTGAACGAGTCCTGCGCCAGCTACGTTACAGTGCTGCCAAACCTTTACGAATGCCATTAATAATGTTAATACCACGGCGGCCGAGATGCGTTCTGGGCGCATGGAATTGCTTATAGTACACAGAGTGAAAAATTGGCCCCGGATCTGCATTTAATCTGCAAATGTCGTCGAAAGACAATAGTCTTGCATCCTAAGAGAGTGAACATAACATTTATTTGATGTTCTGGGCAATAAAACCAATGAATTGTATTCGGAAGGCGCTGCGTTGGAGTGCCTCGAGCGTGCAGCGAAGGCGAACGAGCGCATTGAAGCACGTCATGCACGAGCGCCATCTCGCATTAATCTTCGAAAACGAAGGAAGGCATGCGCACCTGCGAAGATGCGTGCCATTCTCGGAGGCGATAAGGTGTAGAACGCAAAGCTACGGACAGGTACCACCACTGTCTCGTTTTAGCTAAGCGTTGATAACACTTGTATTTTTGAGCATCGCGTCGCACTGCCAGCTCAGCGTGTTTAACGCTACGTTCCTTAGAATTACTTCTGTGTGCCTTCTCTAGTATAAAGGCACACCTACAGAGCAACGACGTGATATTGTGGTACCTCAGATATGCGCAAGAATTGCTTTTTATTTGACGACCGCACAAGCACGAACGCTAAATCTTGAGCAATAGTGGTGGGCGCTGCAGATGAGGTCAGCAGTTTGAGGTACCGTTAAAAATGGACAAACAGACAACTGAACAGACAGACAGACGGACAGACAGATAGACAGACAGACCAAAATTTTTTCGTCGAAGTTCCCCAAGAAAGACAATCGTCTTTAAAAGAGGCGAGGGAGCTGAAGCCTGTAGTGCGAATAAACACTTAGTACTTTTTATAGTTGCGCTTGGTTTTAGCGTATATTAGCTGTTGATGCCAGCACCAAATCAACAGCCAAAAATGAGCGAAGTAACCAATGTAATTTGTCTTGTCGCCTTGGCCTTCCAAAAGTAGCCAAACATGGCAACCCTGTTCTGAGGACCACCGTACGGTATGGTGTATATAACTGGCTTCGCGTTTGCATTCTCGGCAACATACGTTATTCCCATACTGTACGTTACCTTCTCCCAACATGTATTGATGATGTGCCCTTTGATATGTTCTTTCTTATGGGACTGCACAGACCGTGGTAAACGCGCATGAAAGACCGTAATGCGGATCCAACGACTGCTTAAAGTATGCATTTCATGGAATACGTCTTTTCATCTAAAGAACATTTACGAATGACTTCAGTTCAAGCCAGACTTGCAACCCATTTTGATGAGGTGTTCATACTTACCAACCTTTGAAGAACTTTTCTTCTATTTCGCAACGTGCTAAGTATATATCTATATAAGCCTTTGAATACGTGTGGAGTACTTATGCGATTATTGTCACTGAGTTAATGTATCACTGCGCCAGTGCAAATGTTTTAATTTTAATCACGCTATGATAAATATCATGAAAGAAAATGAAATGTTTTTGGCATAGTGACTAGTGGCGCGCGCTGTGAATCGAGAGGTTTCTGGTTTGACGCCGTGCGACAAAATCTTTCCTTCACATTTTTTTTTTTTTGCAATGTCTTCGTATACATTTTACAACCTCATTTTGGCAACGTAAATATGTCAGCGGAGCCGTTATGGATCCCAGCATTAAACACTTTCGAGTTAAAAATTCAACAGACGCATGACGCATGCTTTCCTGGAATGTCGACTGCACCATTGCGACTAAAGCATTGCGTGCAGTCAGATGTACCATCGGCATTGACATCTAAGCGTTGACGTGTATATTACGAACGAGAAATTGTTCATTCGCCTGAGATATCAAAATAGAGCATAAGAATCTTTTCTAGCAATCCTAACTTAACGCTGCGGCAAGGGTGCCTACGTGTATTCTGATATTCATTCCGCACTTGTACTCACCAACACAGCGTGACTTTTAATCTCTAGGGAACAAAGCTCCAAATACGCATTTCGGCCTACGCAGATCGTGTTTGACGCCACAACATCTGATGCCGCGGGCGCAGTGATAGCCGTAGATGACTTCAGCCTCGGCAGTGCCCCGTGCCCTTCGCCCGGAAGCTGCTCCTTCGAGGAGGACATGTGCGGCTGGACCAGCAACATTATTCTCAACAACGCACAGTGGTATCGACACCGGGGTGCCACAGTTTACAATACGACAGGTGTGCAGAATGACCACACGTTGGGCACAACCAAAGGTGAGCCAACCCTCGATCAACCTGCGCAATGATCAAATAAATTACAGTTGTTTTTTAGTACACCTTCATGCACGCCATACTGATTGGTCCGTTCATTGTAATGGCATGCGCAGATAAGTTGGCATGCCTTATTTCATTTCCGGCTGTATGCGAATCTTCAGTTATTAGGCGGCGTTTGAGGCATCTTGCCCTCTTTTTTTTTTTTGTCCGGGTTCACACAACCTGTGTTTTGGAATGAACAAATGCGCGGCATTTCTTTCAAGCCCTGAAAAGTATTTATCCTTTGAGATATCAAAAGGACGTACGAGCGCTTTTGTCTTTCACAATGTCTGTTGTCCCCTGCTGGGCATCAGAGCGCTAATGAAAGCGCATTACATCCACAATTCAAAACTTGACTGGCAGGTTCCTCTTCAGCAGGGGGGGGGGGGGGGGGGGGCGGAGGTTCGTCGCAGCGACCTCCCCTCACCTTTGTATCATGTCAATGTATGGAGCTGGCTTTTTTCAATTGTGTGCCTAAAAATTTATTAGCGCTATACTCACTTCCTGGCATGCTTTATGCCACCCATAGTGTACTATTGTAGGCTTCACTGGATTATAATTTCTTTGTTAGGTTTTGAAACAGCCAGATACCTGGTGAATTCCACTATACTTGTTAAAAGTGTTCCTTGAAAGCTAAACAGGGCAAGTGCTGCCCTGGGCAGCACCAGCACATATAACTGTTATTATTTGGGTTAATAAAGCTAGCTTTATTGTAGTTACTAGTCCAGCACTCTATGCATCGCAACACTAAAAAATTTATTATTAGAATTATTGTATTGACTTTTAACCCCTTTCCCCCTCCCAATAATTAAAAAGGACACTGAAGAGGTAAACGGTTTTTTACGTATTAGCAAAGTGCAGTTTCAAAACTTCGAACACACCAGTCTTATCGCAACATGATGCTTCGTAGGCAAGAGAGCTCGTGAAGAGAAATTGTGAGTGGTGATTCCCACACCAAACGCCATGATGTCATAGATTTTGAAGTTGTCCACTGGGATTTATGTAGCTTGTAATCAATATAATGAAAGTACATTGTCATATGTGGTTGACATAGACCTAGCATACCAAGTTTCAGAAAACTTTTTCGTGCTATTGTCGCGAAAGCGTGAACTACACAATTTGAAAGTTGCCAGCATTTCCGCGCATAGCTTAAAAATAAACTTGAACCTTAGTTTTCGCCGCTAAAGAACTTCTGATAGTAAAACATGTGGCATTATAATTCTGAGCACTCAGTCTTTCAATCGAAACCACGTCACTGCTTCTCTTCAGTTTCCATTTGAAACCGATACCTCCCGGAAGATGCATGCGTGCTGCGGAACTTTTCGAAATTTTTCAAGTGATGTAGCTTCGTTCACTAAAATTAGTCACTGAAAGGCGGAATAATAAATTTCGCATTATGACATTCGATAACCTTGTTTTGTATTAGACAGACTGATCGTACTTTTTGACAATCTGCGTTTTTTATTTATTTAAGCGGTAGAGCGTTTTGCTGCTTTTTCTGCGCTGAATAGTAAACAGTGCATGCTGTTGTTTTAACTTTGCAGGTTACTACCTTCTCCTCGACGCCGCTGACCTGATAGGTGCTTCATTCGGCAGTTTGCAGAGTCCAAAGTTGCCCTTGGGTCCTTCTGTGTGCTTCAGCCTTCACTACTCCTTCAAAAACGGCTGTGAGTAATCGCTGATAGAACATATCGTTGTCAAGGGGAAGGCCAAATGTCTTGCGGTATTTGCTTATGTTGAACAAATTTCTAACTAGTGTTCGCTTTCATACACTGATGATATGTAACAGACAATATAGCAAAAAGGCATTTTGCTTCTTCTAAAATACAACATATGTATTCGAAAAAAATATACGTGATAATACTTTTACATAAGGCCCACCCTGTGTTTGCGACATATATATATATATTTACCGACTCTATCTCGCTGTCTTCGTCGTCTATTCAAGAACACAAATCAAGCTCTTTGCTAAACTAAACGATGGTCATCACAGACAGAGATGGTTAAAATTTTAAGGTTGCATTCTACGCTCATCAATGAAGACATGCGACATATGATGTAACTATAGTTTCCCTCTAATAGCACTCTTTGGAAGCAATATCTTCGTACTGGTTGGTGTGCCATCTGGCATGAGGAAAAAAAAACCTTTTTTTCAATGTTTTCCACAAGGTGGGGTGTTGTAGATGGGGCAAAGCAGCTGGTCGTTTCTTTGCCTACTTATACTTTTTTGGTTATTTAAATCTATTTAGGAGTCTAACCACCGTATTCATAAACGCTTTTTGACTTGAACTTGACTTAAAACCACCTTCAATGCAGGGTGTTTGAAACGCGTCTGTGCGTTTGCGCTGCCTTAGCACCGCCTAAAGACAGCGCGTTTGAAACGTGCTTGTGCCGCATTGATGTCAGTGGCAAGTCACGTTGGAATCAAGCAGCGTTTATGAATACGGGGGTAAGGCAAGTTCCCAAATGCTCATCGACTCCGAAACTCCACCTAAAGGTATCTTTCAGGATTCTTTCTTGTGATTTCTGCAACGCTGAAAGTCTCAAGGATCCCTTGAGCTCGAGCTTCGAAGCGAGGAGCGTTTTTGTATACCGGCCCCAAGCAATTCAAGCCAGCTTGCCAGTTACAGGACTGCGAATACAATTTGAATATGGCCGCATCTTCGAAAAAGGCTGAAAATACACCGGAGTTCCTTTTCAACCGGCGGCAACAGTTCATGGTTTGACACAATGCGAGAACACGACATGCAAACGAATAATACAGAAAGACGGGCGCCGTACTTGCAGCTAGTCTTATTCACGTAGACTCACACATGTACACGGAAACGTGGTCACACAAAATAGCCAAGGTTTATCTTGGCACCCGAGGTTTATCGTGCTTGCCTACTCATATGCGAGACTTTTTTTTGTTTAAGGGAGATGATTGAAATGCTGATGAATGTGTTATGGTTAAAAATTTGCAAAGGCACTTTTATCGCATGAGCTGTCTCTGTATTACTCCTGGCGGTGATGCTACTTGTTTTCATATTCAGGAGTGCGCCGACACTCTTTGTATTGCGCACCGATATGTGAAAGGCTCTTGGTTCGCTCATGTCGAACAAGTCACGTGAGGTGCCATCCCACACAACAAAATATGGATAAGACAGAAAGCGGACTACGAGCTGTAAGTTGTGCGAAACAAGAAAGCCTTGTTATAGGGCACCATAATAGGTACGTAACCATAGCACGCCTAAAAAGTGCAAATAAAAAATACACAGCGTTACATCGCATAATATAATTGGCCAACAAATATCAATTTATATGACATGCCCCAAATAGAATTCGTAAAAAAAAGCAATCATTGATTTTCCCAACTCATTATAATGCGTACAAACTACTTTTTTTAGCCAAAATAGTATTTTTCTTTTAATTACTACTAACTTATGTAGCTCCCCCCCCCCACCCATTAAAAAAGAAAGAATACCTCTCTTCACAGCTTTTTTTTCATAGGCTATCCACCTAAATTTTTTCATAGGCTATCCACCTAAATTGCATGCAATAATGCTGAAAGTCTGGTTATTGTGTTTGCTGTGACTTTATTGCATAGTTATGCGGCATGTCACTGAATATTAAGCATGATATTCTGTAAAAAATGTTCAAATAATTCTTCAGAGGTATGTTGATTTGTCCTTCACAGCTGGAGCAGCGTTGACAGTTGCATTCTTCGACCAGAAGGGGGCCATTGTGGGTCGGCCTAGAAGGGTGCAGAACTCTACGCCACGCGTGTGGACGCGACTTTCCATCGAACGCTCCGATCTTCCTGATCTATTCTCAGTAGGTATCTTCAAGTATTCAGTGATATACCACGGCCGTTGGACAAAAAAAAAAAGCCACCGGCATGTTCTCACGGGGAAACTCGCGTAAATGCATCGCAGAGCAGGGGGGGGGGGGGCATCACGTTAATGTTGCGTAATTTGGTATAGCTTGAAAATGGTTCATTGTTATTTAATATTTATTATTCTTATTTATTGAATGAAGGAGAAGCGTTGTTTTCAACATCAAGTGAAAGCCAAGAAAAGACACCCTTGACTAAATTCCGAACGATTGTGCAGCGCGAGCAGTCGTGCTTTTAGGTGAGAGAGGGCCAGGGGAGTGTTAGTTTTGGAGTGTCTACCTGGGCCGGCACTATACGCGAGCATGCGCAGTGGGGGTGTGGACGGCACCACCGCCGGCACCGAAGTGCGACATTGTGCGACTGAGGCATGCCGCGCATTTAAGAGGTGGCTGTACCTAGAAATTTTCAAGTATCAAGGTCACTTTGAGTAAACATTTCACCAAAAATCGACACATCATTTAAAACAATGGGCTAGTAATGATGCACACATAGCTTCATTACTTTTTTAGTTGTTATCTGATCTTGCAATTATATAAGAGACTTTTTGTCTCTAGACTCCAAGTGAAAATTGGTATCACACTACAATTAATAGCGCTTCTTTATTCTTAAAGGCAATTTTACTGTACTCGCGTGACATACGAATCAAACTTGTACAGTTACAAGAATGAATTACGAGAATTCGATGACTCTTGATATGTGGAGTTTAACGTCCTAAAACCACCATATGATTATGAGAGACGCTGTAGTGGAGGGCTCCGGAAATTTTGACCACCTGGGGTTCTTTACCGTGCGCCCAAATCTGAGCACACGGGCCTACAACGTTTCCACCTCCATCGGGAACGCAGCCGCCGCAGCCGGGATTTGATCCCGCGACCTGCGGGTCAGCAGCCGAGTACCTTAGCCACTAGACTACCGCGGCAGGGCAATTAGATGACTCTTAAATGTTGTTGTGAGTCAATTTAGTATAGGTGCGTTAGTTTGAGAACTTCCACAACCTTCACTACCTTAACACTTTCCAGTCCGTAATAGATGCCAGCGCGGCAACGGCCATACAAGCGATAAAGTTGATAACGTTTAAATATTCTAATGTCTGAGGAATATAACACAAATGCACATATATGGTAAATTGTTTTTCGAGACTTCTTCCTAGAGTAACTAATGCAAAAAACACATAAATAGTGTAATAGCTGTTCGAAATTGACAATTTTTTTTAAATTATGGACCCCACCCCCCACTCCCTAATGTAATCAAAACAACAAAACCCTACGAGAGAAAGAAAAATTATTGCAGTTTTATATCATACTTTCGTCTAACCAGCAAACTTGTGAAGTGCTCTAGTTTGTGGCCTCCAAGCGAGTGGTCATTCCCCTTTGCGCAGGTTATAATCAGCGCTCAGACGGCACGAGGCCGAAGCGACGTCATCATCGACGACATCGACGTACGTCGTGGAAAATGCCCTGAGATGGCCGTTACCACAATAATACCAGGACCAGGTATGTTCGAGGTTTTCCCGGAGCTCTAGAAACGGCTGGCGTACTGTGCCTTGTAAAGTTCAAGCATGTTAAGCATGACTATTTAAAAGGGAACAACTAAAAGAAACGAGGTTGTGTTGTCATGATAGGTGTTTTTCGGGTGAGCTCAAAACGCGTCCATAATATGCATAAACCAACAAAATTAACTTTACTTTGGCGAAAAACAAACAGCAGGCCCCACGACCGCCATCGCGAGTCGCGCCGCGTGATTTGTCGAATCTTTATGACAACAATTTCAAGATGGGGGCGACAGCTGACTGCGCTGATATTTGTAGTCCTTTCTTTCAACTGCAGTGGACCATTTCGCAGCCATCTTCTACAACAACAAAAAAAGTTGTGAAACGCGACCTGATCGCGACTGAAAGTGCTGCGGGGGCAATATACCGCGCCGTAATTTGCCATCGTGAGTCCATTTCGACCTCGCACAAGCAAAACTAGTGAATGTCGCATGGCGAAAATCTTTCATCAGAAGAAGAGAATGGTTTAATGGTAAGAAGTCCCTATGAACTAGCAGTACTGATGCTTCAATAGGCTGCTTATTGCACCAGAAACAAGAAACACTCGCGAAGCAAACGAGCTGAGATGGCTTAGCGACGCCGATGGGCCTGGAGGCTCGCTCTTTCGATGACGTCTCATGCCCATGTGTCTTTCCCACACTCCACCCCAGCGCTCACGTACCGGGAGCGTTCTTTCGGTCAAAGTTTGCTTGCAGATAGCACCATCGTTTATACAAAAATCGTCGAAGAAAACTGTTGTTGGCATGTTGTAAGAGCTCGCAAATACCAAGTTTGCAATAAATTCGCGAACGCAAAACTTCTTCAGTGTCTGTTTAAGTTATAGTTCGCTCTAATATAGTAATATCTATTTCAAGGACCCACAGGCGTAAGCAGGAGGAAGGGAACAGGAGGGTGCTTTGCAGTAAGCTTTCGCATAACATTATAATTTGCAGGTATCACATTCATTTCTTCTCATACGCGGCAAAACTCATTTTTAAAGGGGTAAGTTCAAACACGGTTGTTTCTATACAGAAGGCGTTTGCAGAAACTGTTATAACGATGGCGTCACTAGGCAACGTACAGCAACCACTTGAAACTTCTGCACCCAGCATCGCCGAGCTTTGCACATGAGCCTAGCCATGACGTCAGTTGCCCTACTGCTCTTCCCGGCTGTTTCTACCTGTGACGTCACTCCATTTCTCCTGGCCGTGTCACTCTTATCCAGCCAAGCTCTTGCATCTGCATATGTGAAGCTACGGCAGTGCCGTCACTGAGCACCTGTTTTTATCTGTGCCTGGATGGGGCGTGCTTGCAGCTTGGCCATGGCCTCACAAGGAGAATTAGCTGAAACTTCGATATGTTATGATAAACAACCGCAACTTGGGTAATGTTTTATATGAAAGAAAATTAGCATTATTGCGTGGGAACTATAAATACAGAAGATGATGTTCAGGCATCTTCTTTGTCCTCAATACAACACTAGCTGAACGTCTCATCGTCAGCAAAGCCAAGTTTTATATTGGAAAATTAAGTTAAACTGTGTAAAAGCTAATTAGACTCTGAGCTGCACTATTTCCCTTGGCTTACAACACTACTACAGGCTGCCCATATTTTTCGAACGCTCGAGCTGATAACGCAATTCCTAAAAAAACTTATGCGATGAACAGGTGGAAGGGCAACTTTATTATACATAAGTATGAATAGCAGCGACCATGTTCATTTCGGAGGTGCATTATGCTGAATTGGGATGCTTGAAAATGGTCCTGTCTGTTCATGGCACTCCTATGTGTCCGCATTCATTCATCGAGTGAAAAAAAAAAAGAAAAATGAAACCTAACGACACTGTAGCCGCTAGATAAACACTGACCTAAATGTGCTTCTATTGAGTGAAGTAATGCTTTTACATTACTCTGGGTAAATTAGCTTCGGAATTCACTTCGGATTCTCACAATTTCCTCTTCCAGAAACGGAAACTCCTACCCGCCCTGCAACAGCAGCTTCTACGCAGCCCGTGCCTGCACCAGAAACCACACCAACAGGTATTATCATAATTCTTCAAGAACTATATGTATCTTTAGCGCCATATAGGTGGTACAAGCAGTTATCTTCGGGAGTGCACTATGAGCATTAGACTTGAACTTTAACTTCTAAGGGTACTGTTTATAGAAACACGCTTTTTGTAGCCCTTTTTTCAACTATCACAGAATTGCTCCAACTGAAAAGCACTTCTGGCATATTATCTTCCGACACTAATATGGTTGTCTCCGTCATGGAGATAAAGGGTAGGTTCGCAATAATTTGTTTTTTTAAAACTTTACAACTTTGTGCAACTGCGCTATAGTATGAATGCCTATATAATTTCAGTAGAGGGTTGCTCGCACGCTGATGCCAAATCAGTTGAAAACAGCAAAAAAAGGTGACTGTGCTGAAGTTTTCAAAATATATATAGTGTTCTAAACTTTCTGAAGAAAGAAGGTGTTTTTAGCACGATGACTGTCATTGACGCGTTTCTTAGCATTTTGCCACAGCTTACGCTTGCGCTAGTGAGGCTGATTTTTGGCACCTTGAACATTTTTGACGTCAACTCTAAAGAACTGTCTGTTAACATGTCGAATTGATACGTAATTTCAATACCCTAAATGACACATTCATTGCAACAAAATAACGTCAAAAGGTGCTGCCATTTGTGTGATACAGTAACTAATCGTAATTAGGTTGGAAATAAGTTTCTGTTTACCCGTGGGTTATTGACGCTTTGAATTTTAATATTAGAATGCCATCTTTGCCTGGAAATATAGTGAAAGCTCATTTTAGCTTATGTTTATCATGAGCAAAACAAATTATGCTTTTCAAGCAACTCGTTGAACGTTATTGTACGTTCAGCAAAAAGATCATATGCAACAGCACACGGCAGACTTAGGTTAAATAAGAAAATTTTATTACGCAAGAGCTTTAATGCATCCAAACTTTTAATATACTCGTTTGTTTATTTCCTACTCGATACAAGCAGCGAGTGCAAGTCGTTCACACAATTCCTTACATAGCGTGTAAAACCGCTAAGGAAAAGTTTACGTTGGACGCATAAATTTAATGTTCTCTATTTCACAGTGTCTCTCAATGACCTCGTTAGGCCAACAACACCCCTTCTGACGGCCGGTAGATGCTCAAACATTGGTTAGGAAACAATGGTGTTAAACGGCAGCTTTTGTGGATTCGCCGAACACTTCCAGCCTACGCATACTGCACTTTCACACGTCGTTCCTTCATTTTTTTGTTTTGATCTCCTGTTATTACATAAATAGCATCTGCAATCGCGGAAAAATTTGGTAGATCCTACGTACCTGGGGATTGAACTTATGCGAAGCATGTATAGGAAAGATGGCCGTGTTGCAAATTTTGTTGAGCGACACGCCATGAAATGACGCTAAATGTGTAGTCAATTGTTGCACGCACAGACATATGTTGAAGAGTCGCAGATGTTTATATAACCAGTTGTTTGCACTTGCGCAAAGATGTCAACTGGAACAAGCACATTAACAACACCAGAAGCTGATATAAAGCGCTGATGCTCGCGAGGATGCTGGCCCTGAACATTGCTACATAAATCAACTTCAGCGCATGGGACCTAACCACGAAGGACGCTAATCCGACATGACGGCTGTATCAAAGGAGTACATATGACATGTTAATAAAATTGGGTAGGCAGCAGTGCAACCACTATTGACGTTTTACGAAGATTAGCGTCTATTTGAAAAGTAGTTCCGAGACCTGGCGTAGCTCTGTGGTAGAATGCTCGACTGCCACGCAGAATATTTAAGTTCGATTCTTGCTGAGACCCTGATTTATTATTTGCACTCATCCGGGGGCCAACGCTGCGTATGTCAGGTTTTTCTCAACACCGAAATTTATTCTATACCTTCGTTGGGCCGACGCTCACGCGTTAAAATTGTCCATGTGTGTTCTCGTCGTTCCAGGGCAGATACCAAGTGTCAATAACCTGTAGCACATACCCGCCTACCAGGGGCACATACCCGCATACCAGGAGCACATACCCACCCGTGGGTATGTGCCACTGTCGGGGCGGGAAGTGTTTGACGACATACGCGATGGGATAGCGACTATATTCATGTCTTGATCAGCATGTCGAATTCGCCAAATCATGTTACCCTTTCATGGTAATATTGGTTCACACCAAGTTAAGGGGGTGACCACGAGAGCACCCAAACGTAAGCGGCTAGATAGATAGATAGATAGATAGATAGATAGATAGATAGATAGATAGATAGATAGATAGATAGATAGATAGATAGATAGATAGATAGATAGATAGATACGCTCAAAGTCGCCAAAGTTCGCTAAGAAATGTTTCGCATTTAATAAAACATTTAGTGGCAAGCTTGCGGTTTGCGTATGTGTTGTTATTCTGTGTGCATGTAGTGATCCGCCATACAAGTTAAAAGACTAGTCTTAACGAAAGAATAAAGCAACGTGCCTTGGTGTGCTGTTCAGTGATAAATAAATGTGTAGTCTGGTCAGGGCTTTACAGTTACCTCCCCGCTGTCTTCAATATTGACTTCTATGACGAAGGAAACGTCGTAGCTTCGAGGTTTACGCTATGTTTATCCGCAGAGTACTTTAGCTACGTCATTGCCAGCGTGATGAATTACTTGACCAACATGTCATTGCGTCAACTGTAACAAAGCACTATAAACTTCAGTTAAAAAAGTAGTTGAGAACAAAAACACTGAAGATACCGAGACAGCTTCAGTGGCGTGGTTCATGCTTAAGGGGGCTTCTGCTATTACGTTGTCTAACAATGTGTGGCTATGATGCGGCGTAGTGATCACCTTTTCAAAAACCTGTATTGTTTTCTGGAGTAACTACTGTACTTAGAGGAAATTTTTTCTTCTATTTTTTCACTGCTCAGTGAGCAATATAGTATATGTGTGATTACAGAACCTTCTACGCTGCCCACGGAAGTTATAACGCCAGAACCAGTGGCAACTGAAACTCCAGCCCCTCCCAAGCCGAGGCCTGCCCTGGTGTGCCAGCACGGCGAGTTCAGCTGCAGAGACGATAGCACTTGCATTCCATCTGCACTGCTCTGTGATGGTGTTAAAGACTGTCCAAATGGACTGGATGAGAAGTGCGGTGAGACATTTAGAGATAATATTTATCAAGTGTACTGCTTCATTTTCCCTAAAGTTATTGTTCTCCTTTACATCATTCTCGAAAAGAAAAAAAACTGGAGCCGTATATGTAGTCCTTTCTATGGAGATTGTTTGAAGAGAAAAAAAGCAGACATTCCGAAGAACAAGAGAGAGGACCAGTGCTTTTGTCATTGCCGCATTTTTCCGCATTCTTGAGCTCATTACGCTTTCATTAAAGGAATTCATTCTGAAATGCCCTAACCATTCCGTTGACCACCTGTGAATAACTGTGTATCTGTTCTTGTGAATGTGTTGCGTGTTATCTGAGGAATTATAGTTAGCGTTCGATTCTCTGTTGTCAGAAGCCTTACCTTTTTTTTGTTACCCCAAATTGTTGCAGGAAGTGCCTGGCAATGCAAAGAAGACGAATTCTTTTGTCCGTCCCGCTCTCCTAGCGCTTGTATGCCATGGTCTCTCCTCTGCGATGGTCACGAGGACTGCGCTGGTGGTTCCGATGAATCTTTATGTCGCGGTAAGAATAAGTACCTTTCAATGGTCAAGATAGACACCCTGCTACAATTATCCCAGATGCGTACTCATCCTACGATTAGCTATTGTTGTGCACCCTTACAGCCTTGAAATATCTGCAGCGCTGCACATTAAAAACAGACCACGTGGTTGCATTGATGAGTGCCTTCCGTAAATAGATTTTCCCCGTTTGAAGAAACGAGCATGTTGAGCAAATTGCTCGCAATAACTTGTTGCCGAGCCATGAAGTGCACCCATACAGTGGTAGAATCGCCAATATCTTCTAACAAGTGAATGCTTTGTCGTGAAACGAACAATACTTTCACGTGACAAATGAGCCTGCAGGGTGTGCTGAAGAAAAAGTAAGGGTCGTCTGACCATAACACAGGCTTTTGCTCCAACATTCAGGCATTTCAATTTTAAAATGTTTTCATTGTTTTTATACTTTCAGCATGTCCTGATTATTTCTGCCGAAATGATGGTACATGCGGGTGGACGCCAAAAGCGCCAAGTCCGACCTGCGAATGTCGCCATGGTTACAGAGGCCGCCGCTGTAATTTGTTGACCAGCACCGTACCACAAGCGGACACGCTTACTTCAAAAGGTATCAGATTTATTTCATTCTTTCTTACAGCTCAAGCTGTTGTGAGATCACGACATCAGTGCCGTAGTTAGCCACCATCACCAGTCTTGGTAGCCCCAATAAGGATATATATATATATATATGTATATATATATATATATATATATATATATGTATATATATATATATATATATATATATATATATTATATATATATATATATATATATATATATATATATATATATATATATATATATATATATATATATATATAGGGTGGCAGAATAGAGATGTTCAAACGACCTGTCACGAAATGGTAATTGCTCAATGAGTCTGTGCTTTTAGGCTTCCCGTCCGCTTCAAAGTTCTAAACCATAATTTTTACCATCATGAGCTCCGTGCAGCACCGACAAACCACACATAATTCCTTACAGACATGCCACCCGTACATCGCTTGCCTGCCTAAAGAGCAGTAATAGTATAGGGGATTTTTCTCTACTTCACAAAAATTATGAGTCATGGTGTCGTGAACACCTTGCGTGCGCTAGTATTGTCGGTGCCGAAAGTGTTTAAAGCAGGTGCTAGAAAAGCCAATTTTGCAGCTTTCTGTGTGATTGTGCTGTGCGTAGGCCTGGTGTTTTTTCACTGTTTGTGCAACACCAAACAGCCCATGAGGCGTAAAAAGATAGTCGGAATTGTGGAATGAATGGTGGCAAATGTCCACTGTGCGAAAATAAATCACTGACGATGCTGCCAATGTATTTTCTCTATATGAGGGTAGTAGAGCAGTTTTATATGTATACATGACGTGGCTGAAAGCTTGATGTTAGTGGCGACCGTGCACTCAACAAAGTTCTGTTCGTATGCACTTCCGCAACACAATGCGTAGGAAGACTACCTTTATAATAGTTCACACCACTGGGTCATGCTGTTGGTACGAGCTTTCGTGCCCCGTCCACTGTGGTGGTGTTGTGAATCGTGGTCGTTGCCTGCTCACCTGAAAATCACGGGTTGGATCCCGGTAAAGATGGTCGCACTCCGATGGAGCAAATATGCTAGAAGCTCGTGTATGTGCAATATCAGCGCAAGTTAACAAAGATCAAGTCACCAAAGTCTTCGCGGTCCTTTATTACGGCATTCCTCATATTTACACCTTGGTTTTGAGGGATAACAACACCTTTATTATTATAGTTTTGTCCTTCGTGCACTTCAGACATGCATATTACTGTTTACACTGCACAATTTTGTAACCGAATCAGAGCCATACTATGGTAATAAAACTATAGGTAACATGATCAGACTTGCAATTTATTAACTTTCATTACCTTGCTCGTATTTTTATCTTCAGTGTTGTGATGCCAGAAGTGGCCCTAGTAATTAGGTTCCGTTTACTATCAATTTCGCTAACTAAACTTTACATCTCCAAGCATATTTTAAATATCCCATCTATTTCATGCAACTAATATTTAGAGTAGGAACTAAATTTTTGTGTTATTTCAATACTTAGACCTTTGTACCACCTTTATCTGTATTTTGTTGAAGTCACGAGTGGTCAAACATTTTGTTTTTTTATGTATCTGTGTGCTAGCGCCAGAAAACAAAAAAGGCAAACGAAACCTTCTGATTTTAATCGCTGACTGTGTGTGTGCCAGGGGGCTGCTCGAAACGTTGACGAACACTACAAAGAAGATTAAAGATGCAATGGTGATGTGGCCAAACAAAAAAAAAATCTACGCGTCGTGCAACATTTACGCATGACTAAGGGAAATCTCAGATGTTCTAAATGTGACCCTGTGTAAATTTCTTGATAACCTAAAAGTTGACGACCGCTGCGCCAAATTTTCAGCAATTGGTGCACATCAAGCGTTTACCTTCAAGGGGCCGGGAAAGGGTCACTCATGACACACACTAACTAGGTGACATTTCTAGTGACGGCAGCGTACGAAGAGTCCACCTGTGTGGACGATTATTGAGGCCTCGATAAGCTTCTCGAGCATGGAAGCTTTGCCGCGATAATAGTTCATGCAGGTCAACTGTTGTTACGCTGTGGTCACCTAGAACGTCACCAGGTCAATGTGTGTGACGGCCGGTGGTTTCGCATTGTCGTTTTAGGAGCGACGCTTTCACGATCCTTTTAAGAAAGGATCAGCTTACTAAAAGCCACGCGATCACACATGGATATGCCTGTGTCAACCGACTAAGGAAAGACACCTTATACGTATAGGAGTCATATAATTGGCCTGAGTTACCTATATATGGCACGCAGCTCAGTTGTGCGCCTCACTCGGCTTACGTCGATTTTCATTCTTTTAGCATACGACCTGTATCACTTACTCGATATCAATTTCATTTTGAAGGGTGTGATTAGTACGTTGATTATACAGGCGACGTTCGAAATATATATTATAAATTTTTATGGTTACCTCAACCAATTGTACATTTGTTGTTCTTGCTTTTGCAGGCTCTGGACCTTCTGCCGGCATAGTTGCAGCCATAGTTGTTGTGTTGATGATCTTGATCGTAGCCACTGTAGCTTCAATCGTTGTCATTCGTAAGCGACGCAACCTACAGTGAGTATTTCTCTTGATCGCGAAAAAAATGCACACAGTGCTTAGGCGTGCCCACTTTTTTATCCAGTGTACATAATTTTAAGATGCAATAAACTGGCGTCAACAGTGAACATGGCGCCAAAACCACAAGCACGCAAGAACATAGATTGACACGTAGAGGGCATAAGCACTCGTCCTGTTCATTTGTCAACCTTAGCTCCTGCGTGCTCATAGTTTTGGCACCGTCACGGCTAAACAGGCACAAAATACTACAAGAGGAAGTTGTACTAACTGACGGTCAGTGTGAACTAGCACTGATGTTATGCTAGCTTAGTACCCTATTCACGAAATAACATAACAAAAGACACTTTTCATTGTACTTACGAAAAAGCATCTACAATACCATTGCTATGTGCGATTGCGACAGTTAATAATGCTACGTAGGTTACTTCTGATGTAGAGGGAATATTGCCCGTTGCGGAAGAATTCCAAATGCAGTTGAAATAAGCCA